TTGCATCTATTTGGTTGTTCTCTCTTTTATTTTTAATCAATCTGGCTAGTGGTCTGTCTATTTTGTTGATCTTTTCAAAAAACCAGCTCTTGGATTTATTGATTTTTTGAAGGGTTTTTCGTGTCTCAATCTCCTTCAGCTCAGCTCTGATCTTAGTAATTTCTTGTCTTCTGCTGGGTTTTGAGTTTTTTGATCTTGCTCCTCTAGCTCTTTCAATTTTGAGGATAGGGTGTCAATTTTGGATCTCTCCATTCTCCTCATATGGGCACTTATTGCTATATACTTTCCTCTAGAGACTGCTTTAAATGTGTCCCAGAGGTTCTGGCACGTTGTGTCTTCGTTCTCATTGGTTTTGAAGAACTTCTTTATTTCTGCCTTCATTTCGTTGTTTACCCAGTCAACATTCAAGAGCCAGTTTTTCAGTTTCCATGAAGCTGTGCGGTTCTGGGTCAGTTTCTGAATTCTGAGTTCTAACTTGATTGCACTATGGTCTGAGAGGCTGTTTGTTATGATTTCAGTTGTTTTGTATTTGTTGAGCAGTGCTTTACTTCCAATTATGTGGTCAATTTTAGAGTAGGTGTGATGTGGTGCTGAGAAGAATGTGTATTCTATGGATTTGGGGTGGAGAGTTCTGTAAATGTCCACCAGGTTTGCTTGCTCCAGGTCTGAGTTCAAGCCCTGGATATCCTTGTTGATTTTCTGTCTGGTTGATCTGTCTAGTATTGACAGTGGAGTGTTAAAGTCTCCCACTATTATTGTGTGGGAGTCTAAGTCCTTTTGTAAGTCATTAAGAACTTGCCTTATGTATCTGGGTGCTCCTTTGTTGGGTCCATATATGTTTAGGATCGTTAGCTCTTCTTGTTGTATCGAGTCTTTTACCATTATGTAATGGCCTTCTTTGTCTCTTTTGATCTTTGTTGCTTTAAAGTCTATTTTATCAGAGATGAGAATTGCAACTCCTGCTTTTTTTTGCTTTCCATTTGCTTGGTAAATCTTCCTCCATCCCTTTATTTTGAGCCTTTGTGTATCCTTGCATGTGAGATGGGTTTCCTGGATACAGCACACTGATGGGTTTTGGCTTTTTATCCAATTTGCCAGTCTGTGTCTTTTGATTGGTGCATTTAGTCCATTTACATTTAGGGTTAATATTGTTATGTGTGAATTTGATACTGCCATTTTGATGCTAAGTGGCTGTTTTGCCTGTTAGTTGTTGTAGATTCTTCATTATGTTGAAGCTCTTTAGCATTCAGTGTGATTTTGGAATGGCTGGTACTGATTGATCCTTTCTATGTGTAGTGCCTCTTTTAGGAGCTCTTGTAAAGCAGGCCTGGTGGTGACAAAATCTCTGAATACTTGCTTGTTCGCAAAGGATTTTATTCTTCCTTCACTTCTGAAGCTCAGTTTGGCTGGATATGAAATTCTGGGTTGAAAGTTCTTTTCTTTAAGGATGTTGAATATTGGCCCCCACTCTCTTCTGGCTTGTAGTGTTTCTGCCGAGAGATCTGCTGTGAGTCTGATGGGCTTCCCTTTGTGGGTGACCCGACCTTTCTCTCTGGCTGCCCTTAGTATTCTCTCCTTTATTTCAACCCTGTTGAATCTGACGATTATGTGCCTTGGGGTTGCTCTTCTTGCGGAATATCTTTGTGGTGTTCTCTGTATTTCCTGCAATTGAGTGTTGGCTTGTCTTGCTAGGTGTGGGAAATTTTCCTGGATGATGTCCTGAAGAGTATTTTCCAGCTTGGATTCATTCTCTTCGTCCCCTTCTGGTACACCTATCAAACGTAGGTTAGGTCTTTTCACATAGTCCCACATTTCTTGGAGACTTTGTTCATTCCTTTTTGCGCTTTTTTCTCTGATCTTGGTTTCTCGTTTTATTTCATTGAGTTGGTCTTCGACTTCAGATATTCTTTCTTCTGCTTGGTGACTTCAGATATTCTTTCTTCTGCTTGGTCAATTCGGCTATTGAAACTTGTGTTTGCTTCGCGAAGTTCTCGTATTGTGTTTTTCAGCTCCTTTAATTCATTCATATTCCTCTCTAAGGTATCCATTCTTGTTATTATTTCCTCGAATCTTTTTTCAAATCTTTTTTCAAGGTTCTTAGTTTCTTTGCATTGATTTAATACATGATCTTTTAGCTCACAAAAGTTTCTCATTATCCATCTTCTGAAGTGTAATTCCGTCATTTCGTCACAGTCATTCTCTGTCCAGCTTTGCTCCCTTGCTGGTGAGGAGTTTTGGTCCTTTCTAGGAGGCGAGGTGTTCTGGTTTCGGGTGTTTTCCTCCTTTTTGCGCTGGTTTCTTCCCATCTTTGTGGATTTGTCCGCTGGTTGTCTGCGTAGTTGCTGACTTTTCATTTGGGTCTCTGAGTGGACACCCAGAATGTTGATGATGAAGTATTTCTGTTGCTTGGTTTTCCTTCTACCAGTCTAGCCCCTTCGCTGTACGACTGCTGAGGTCCGCTCCAGACCCTGCTTGTCTGGGGTGCACCTCTAGTAGCTGTGGCACAGCGAGGGATGCTACCAGTTTCTTTTTCTGCTCTCTTTGTCCCAGGATGATGCCTGCCTAATGTCAGTGTTTTGGATATAGAGGGGTCAGGGAGCTGCTTGAGGAGACAGTTTGTACTTTATAGGGGTTTAATTGCTGAGCTGTGCACTCTGTTGTTCATTCAGGGCTGTTAGGCTGCTATGTTTGATTCTGCTGCAACAGAGCTCAGTAAAAAACCCTTTTTTTTTTTTTTATTTTTCTCAAATGCTCTGTGTTGAGGGGTTTGGGCTTTATTTTTGGATGTCCGATCAGGTGGCCTGCCCAGCTAGAAGGCAGACTAGCCACTGTTTGGCTGCCGAGGCTCCGCCCTGCTGTTGTATGATTCGCGCTGTTCCTGCCGGCTCTGCTGTGGTCTCCGCCACGCCCTGCGGCGGAGTCTCTTCGTTGTAGCGTGTTGCCTCAGCAACGGCAGGCTGCGTCAGCAGTGGGCGTGTATCTCAGTAGGACGGGTTGCCTCGGCAACGGCTGGCTGCGTCAGCAATGGGCGTGTATCTCAGTTGGGGCGGGTTGCCTCGGTAGTGGTGGACGCCCCTCCCCCACAGAGCGTCTCGGACCGTCTGCTCGGGATAGTTTGAAATCGCGGTTTTGTTCGTTTCACTGGGTATCCCAATCCCTGCAATCCCCTGGTCTGGCCTACTGTCCAAGTCTTGTTCAGTCTCAAGTCTCAAGTCCAGCCCTCTCAAGTCTCAGGTTGCCGGTTCAACAGGGCACCCGGACAAGCGCGCCCTGTGGGGATTGCTGGGTAGGGCCGGCCGCTGCCGCCCCGGCTGCCGGCTTCGCCAGGCAGACCTACTGCCTGGCGTCCCATGTCTTTTTTATACTTGGGAGTTTCCCCGTTCTGTGGGCAACAAAGATCAGTCTGGAAATGCTGCTCTGACTCACCGTTTGCAGATTCAACAAGAAGAGCTCCAATCCTGGGTTATTCTCACAGCGCCATCTTGAGTCCTCCGGTCAGTAATCTCGGTGAATTTTTAAATTTCTTGTTATAGCAATCAACATGGAGAAATATTTGTTAAATCTAGTAATAGGTTTATGGTAGCTAGCAAGTAATAGGTTTATGCTAGCTTCAGCATTTTTTACTTTGTAAATATTTCAAAATTCAAATACATTTTTAAACAGAAATATAAAGTTTTCATTATTAGTCTCAAATGCATAGATGATATATGTTCACTGTGGATATGTAGTAACAGAGGGTAGCTAGGCCATGCTTTTCTAGTGACTATTTACCTGAGACCCAGAGCCAGACCAAACCACTTACCCATATGTAAGGTCACTGCTCATGTTATAGCTACTAATATTCCATAGGTCAAACAAGCCACAAGGCAGAGCCTAATTGTGAAGAAAGAGGAAAATGCTTCAGGTCACAATGGGAGGGAAAATGAAATGAATATTTGATGAAGAGTAATGCATAGCAATCACAGTTTTATATTAGACATTTATTTCACTTGTTTAAAAGATCCTACTCACCAACACTCAAAATGAATCGTTTTTAGTTTCCTTACATTTATCTAGCTGGTTACAACTGGAGGCAATGGATTCAAAAGGTGTTGCTGACATATGTGACCTGTATATGTAGGTCATTATTTATATTTCTGAACCTGTGCTCAGATTTGAAATGACATTCCTGACTTGGGTTGACATAACTCTTACATGTAGTTTGGTGAATGTTAGCTGCATTCATCCATGACCTGCACACCTGGCTAGGTGTTTTTGTCTGAGCACACTGCTTTCAACTCTATATGACCTTCAGCTTTCTTTGGCAGAATTTTTACAATTTTTTTTTTTTTTTTTTTTTTTACAAAAACAGAAAAGTTTTACATTGGAGATCTTTTCTACCTATTCTTTTTTTATTCCTCACACCCTACTAGTTATCTGGTCTTGCCCACACCCTTGGCTTGAGGCATCCCATCAAGTTACTTACTGGTTTCTTTTCTTCACTCAAAACTGTCAGTATTTTTTTCTAGGTTCTCAGCATTTTATGTTTTCCTACTCACAGTGGGTGGTAGTGAGGCCTCTCTTCATATTTAAATATTCAGCTGTGTATACTCTCTGTGCTTCTCTAAAAAGCAGAAGTCTAATAGGAGTTTCGGTTAATTCCTTCCTGATGGCTTCTAGAAATTGTATCAAATAAACTTTTCAAATTTATATGCTTTTCAGCTTAAATTTTGTTTTGGGTCAACTGAAATAAATAAGACATATATTAATGTCTATCTTAATATAAAATAGAAAATGGTTAAAATTTCAGTAAAACTACTTTTCTATACAATAAAACCATATATAACTATGAATATATAGGAGCCTTATATGTATCTAACATCACACATTAACTATATGTTCATAATTATGTATGATGCATAAATGTAATATAATAATTGCTTTATTTTACTCCAACTTTAAAAGTACTTTTGCTACAAGTTTCCTAGGTTTAAGATTTTTTTTTCTGTTTTGCAATTTAGATTACATCTCTTGATGAACAAATTGTGGTTGGCAGGATTTCTAAGCACTGGACTGGGATTTTAAGAGAGGCATTTACAGATACTGACAACTTTGGAATCCATTTCCCCAGAGACCTTGATGTTAAAATGAAAGCCGTACTGATTGGTGCCTGTTTCCTCATTGTAAGTCTATTCCTGCTAATCTTGGTTACAGATGGCTTCTCTAGGAGCATTCTGAAATAATTCAACAAATTATACATTTTAATATTACCATTTAAAATGTAAAGGTTTTATAAAATATTCCTATTTAATCCCAGCTCTGGAATTTTATAGGTGATTAGTTTGTGTCTGAAGAGTCTACATACTTTCAAATGGCAAGAGAATAACATTATATTCTAAGGATAACTTCTGGTTTGAGGGAGGGTTATTAAAAAATCAAATATGTTATTAGGAGAAAAATGTGAAGCTAGTCTTACGTGGTATAAAACTCAGTGAAACACAGAAATTTCATCCTGACTCATTAAATTAAGACATCAAACATGGGATTATAAAGTGCAATAAGAGTATACATTCAATCAAGCCTCTAGACCTATCAATTTATAGGAAATACATAGGGTAAAGCAGTGATTCTGAATGTCTCTTTATGTTAGAATTATCTAGAGACTTTTTAAAAACTCTCAAATATCAGGCCATTCCCCACTTCAACTACAAGAAGCTCAGAGTCAGAAATTTGTATAGTGCCCCAGCTGATATGAATATGCTGCCAAAGTTGAGGTTTATAGAAACAGAGCAATGGTCTTCAACCTTAGCTACACACTAGTGGGTAACTTTCAAACTCCTCACATCCATATTGCATCCAAATTTATTAAACCAAATTCTCTGGAGTTAGGACAAAGTCTTCAAGCTGTTTAAAGCTCCCAGGTGATTCCAACATGCAATCAAGGTTTGAGATGTCAGATATCTTAAACATGAGCTTGGTGATGTAATCAGAAAATCTTAACAGATAATATACAGCAAAAAGGACCCAGCTCTTTCAACAAATAAGTGGCAATGAAAATAACAGAATAAAGATTAAACAGGGGAGGCCGAAGAAGATGGTTGAATAGAAGGCTCTCAGAATTATTCCCACTCTAAATTGAACTCTAAATTGAACAACTGTCCACATAACAAAAAGCAATTTCCTAAGAACTAAAAATCAGTCACATGATCATCATACCTGGTTTAAAGATTATATTCAAAAAAGAGGCACTGAGGAGGGTAGGAAAGACAGTCTTAAATTGCCTAACCCCTTCCTCTTCCATACCTGGCAATGGATACCTGGTGGAGAGAGAGAATCTGTATGTTGGAGGAGGGAGAACACAGTGATTACGGGACTTTGCATTGGAACTCTGTGCTTCCCTGTCATAGCAGAAAGTAACATGAGGCATGGCACCCATGGAGACAGCATTTAAACTAGCCTTAGCCAGAGGGGCATTGCCCATCCCAGCATTCAGAATCTGAGTTCTGGTAAACCTTGCTACCATGAACTAAAGTGCTCTGTGGTTCTAAATAAACTTGAAAGGCACTCTAAGCCACAAGAACCACAATTCCGAGGCAAGTCCCAGTGCTATGCTGTGCTGGACATGGAACCACTGGATTTATGGTGCATGTAACCTAGTGAGACACCAGCCAGGGCAGCCAAAAGAGTGCTTGCATTAGCCCTCCCCCAATTCCAGACAGCACAGCTAGCCCCTCCAGTATGGAATCCCTCCCTCTGTATGCAGAGAGGGGAGGTGAGAGTAAAGAGGTCTTTTTCTTGCAACTTGGATACCATTCAGCTACAGTGGAATAGGGCACCACTCACCTACAGTAGAATAGGACACTAAACAGAGTCCTGAGGCCCCTGTTAAAACCCTAGCACCCAGATAATGTTTCTAAACACACTGCACATCAGAAGGGAACCCCCTGCCTTGAAGAGAGGGACCCAGTCCTGCTAGGATTTATCACCTGCTGACTAAAGAACCCTTGGGTCCTAATGTCTGTCTTATTGGTAGCCAGGTAGTACTTACCATGGGCATTAGGGAAGACTCTGAGATATGCTTGCTTCAGGTGCGCCCAGCACATTCCCAGCTGTGGTAGATATGGGGAGATAACTCTCCCACTTGAGGAAAGGAGAGGTAAGAGGAGAGAAGATTTTGCATTGCAGCTTGTATACCAGCTTGGCCACAGTGGGAGAGAATAGCAAGTGGGCTCTAGAGTCCATGATTCCAGGCTGTGGCTCCTGGATAGCATTTATGGACCTATGCTGGACCAGAAGGGAGCCCACTGCCGTGAAGGGAGATATTCAGGACTGGCATAGTTTACTACAAGCTGACTGAAGAGCCCTTGGGCCTTGAGTGAACATCAGTGGTAGCTAGGTAGTACTTGACATCAGTGGTAGCTAAACTGTGTGCGTTGTGGGCCTGGGTGGTGGTGGCCAAGGGGAAAGACACTTTTTCTTAAGAAGATGGGAGGAAAGAATGGGAAGAATTTTGCCTTGCAACTTGGGTTCTAGCTCAGCCACAGAATCGAGCACCAAGTAGATCCCCAAGGTTCCCAACTCCAGGCCAAGGCTCCTAGACAGCATCTCTGGACCTACCCAGGACCAGGGGGGAACTTGATGCCCTGAAAGGAAGGATACAAGCCTGACTGGATTTGATACTTGCCAATAATAGAGCTCTTGGGACTTGAGTAAACATAGGTAGTAGCCAGGTAGTGGTCGCTGCAGAACTTAGACAAGAACTAGTGCTGTGCTAGCTTTGGGTCTGACTCAGTGCAGTTCCAGTGGTGGTGGTCACAGGTGTTTTTGTGTCACCCTTCCCCCAGATCTAGGCAGCTCAGCACAGAGAGACTCCCCTTGTTGGGGGAAAGTCAGGGAAGAGAACAAGAGTCTGCCTGTTATTGCAGATATTGCTTCTGGATCTTAATACTGCCAAGGGATTACCTCTGTGAGTCTCTAAGAGCCACAGAATTACTGGGCTTGGGATATCCACTAAAGTATATATGGCTGCAGTAATGAAAAACTTAGACCCAAGTCCTTTTGAATGCCTGGAAAGCCTTCCCAAGGACAGGTACAAACAAGCCCAGACTGCAAAGACTGCAATAAACACCTGACTCTTCAATGCCCAAACACAGATTAACATCCACAAACATCAAGACCATCCAGGAAAACATGACCTCAACAAATGAACTAAATAAGGCACCACAGGCCAGTCACAGAGAGACACAGATATGTGAACACAGCAAATTCATAATAGTTGCTTTGAGGACACTCAACAAAATATAAGTTAACATAGAGGAGAAATTCTGAATCCTATCAGATAACTTTAACAAATAGATTGAAATAGCTAAAAAGAATCAAGCAGAAATTCTGGAGTTGAATAATGCAACTGATGTATTGAAGAATGCATCAGAATCTCTAAACAGCAGAGCTGATGGAGCAGAAGAATGAATCAGTGGGCTTGAAGACAGGATATTTGAAAATACAGTCAGAGGAGACAAGAAATACAAATAAAAATCAAGCTTGCCTAAAAGCTCACATCAGAAAATAGCCTCAAAAGGGCAAATCTAAGAGTTATTTGTCTTAAAGAGGAGGTAGAGAAAGAGATAAGAGTAGAAAGTTTATTCAAGGGGATATTAACAGAGAACTTTCCACACCTAGAGAAATATATAAATACAGAAAGGTTATAGAACTCCAATCATATTTAATCCAAAGAAAACTACCTTAAGGCATTTAGTACTCAAACTCCCAAATGTTAATGATAAAGAAAGGTTCCTAAAAGCAAGAGAAAAAAAAAAAACCCCTGAATAAGATAAAAGCAAGCTCCAGTACATCTGGCAGCAGACTTCTGAGGCCAGAAGAGAGTGGCTTTATATATTTAAAGTGCTAAAGATAAAAAAAAACTTTTATCACAGAGTAGTATATCTAACAAAATTATCTTTGAAACATGAAGAAGAAATAAAGACTTTTCCAGGCAAACAAAAGCTGAGGAATTTTATTAATACTAGACCTGTCCTACAGGAAATGCTAAAGGGAGTTCTTCAGTCTGAAAGAAGTATACATTAGTGAGCAACAAGAAATTATCTGAAGGTATAAAACTCACTGGTAATAGTAAGTACACAGATAAACACAGAATATTATAACACTGTGATTATAGTGTGCAAACTAGTCAGATGTTAAGTAGATGATGAACCTATTAAAAATAAAAACTGCAACAAATCTTTAAGCCATAGACAATATAATAACATACAAATAGAAACAACAACAATTTGAAAGCGGGAGGGTGAAATTAAAGTGTAGAGTTTTTAGTATTTTTCTCTTTGTTTATGCAATCAATGTTAGGTGTCCATAAGTTTAAAATAGTGGGTTGTAAGATGTTGTCTGCCAGCCTTAGAGTAATCCGAAATCAAGAACATAGAAAAAATATATACAAAATCAAAAGCAAGAAATTAAAACACACCACCAGAGAAAAGCACTTTCTCTAAAAGAGAACAACAAGAAGGAAGGAAAGAAGGAAGAGAAGATCACAAGAAAACCCAGAAAACAAATAACAGAATGTCAGGAGTAAGTCTTCACTTGTCATTAATGACATTGAATATAAATGGACTAAACTCTCCAATCAAAAGACATAGGATAATTTAATGGAGAAAAACAAAACAAAATGAAAACAAGACCCAATAATCTGTTGCCCTCAAGAAATACACTTCACCTATAAAGACACACATAGACTGAAAATAGAAATTGAAAAAAATTCCATGAAAATGAAGAGCAGGAGTAGCTATACTTAACATTATACAGTATAGATTTCAAGACAAAAACTATAAAAATAGACAACGAAGTTATTATGTAATGATGCAACGGTCAATTTTGCAAGAAGATACAAGAATTATAAATATATATGCACCCAATGCTGGGGCACCCAGTAATAGAAAGCAAATATTATTAGAGGCAAAGGGAGAGATAGACCCCAATACAATAACAGCTTTAGACTATTTCAACACCCTACTTTTGGCATTGGACAGACTTTCCAGACTAATAATCAACAACAATAACAACAAAAAACCCACATCAAATTGAATCTGCACTATAAACCAAATGGGCCCAATAGATATTTACAGAACATTTCATCCAATGGTTACAGACTACACATTTGTCTCCTTAGCATATGGCTCATTCTCAAGGTTAAACTATGTTAGGCCATGAAAAAGTATTAAAGATTCTTTAAAAAATGAAATTATATTAACTATCTGACCACAATGGAATAAAACTAGAAATCAATAAGAGGAACTTTGGAAACTATACAAACACATGGAAATTAAACAATTTGCTTGTAAATGACTAGTGGGTAATAATGAAACTAAGAAGGCAATTGAAAAGTTAATTGAAACAAATGATAATGGAAACAGAACATACCAAAAGCTATGGGATTCAGCAAAAGTAGTACTAAGAAGAATGTTTATAGAATTAAGCACCCATATCAAAAAAAGTAGAAAAAGTTCAAATAAATAATCTAACAACAAATCTTAAAATGTTAGAAAATCAAGAGCAAATCAAAATCATAATTAGTTGGAGAAAAGAAATAATAAAGTTCAGAGCAAAAAAATTGAAATTTTAAATATATAAAAGATCAACAAAGTAAAAATTGTTTTTTGGAGAGAGAAACAAAATCAACAAACCTTTAGCCTGATCAACTAAGAAAACAGAGAAAAAACCCAAATAAATAACATCAGAGATGAAAAAGGAGACACTTTGATACTGCAGAAATTCAAAGGATCATTAAAGACAACTTTCACCAACTATATGCCAATAAATTGGAAAACCTAAAAGAACTGGATAAATTCCTAGACACATATTATCTACCAAGATCGAACCATGAAGAAATCTAAAACCTCAACAGACAATAAGTAATGAGATCAAAGCTGTAGTAAAAAGTCACCTAGCAAAGAAAAGCTTAGGAACTGATGGCTTCAGTGCTGAATTTTACCAAACATTTAAAGAATAAATATCAATCCTACTCAAGCTACTGAAAAATAGAGTGGGAGGGAATACATGCAAACTTATTCTATGAAGCTAGTATTATCATGATACCAAATCCAAACAAAGACATATTTTTAAAAACTACAGTTTCATATCCCTGATGAACATTGATCCCAAAATCCTTAACAAAATACTAGCAAGTCAAATTCAACAATACATCAAAAAGATCATTCATCATGACTGAGTGGGATTTATCCCAGAGAAACAAAAATGGTTCAGCATATGTTTTGGATATAGCCAATTATCAGATACATGGTTTGCAAATATTTGCAAAAATTCATTGGTATTCTGAGAGGGATTACATTGAATCTGTAGTTCCCTTTCAGTAATATAGACATCTTGGCAATATTAATTATTCTAATCCAGAAACACAGAATATCTTTCTATTTATTTGTGCCTTCATTGGTTTCTTTCATTAGTGTCTTATAGTTTTCAGTGTACAGAATTTTTGGTTAAATGTGTTCCTTAGTACTTAAAACTTTTTGATGCTGTTGTAAATGGAACTTTTTTCTTAATTCATTGTACATGGAATGAATTCTAATTACAAGAAGAGTTATATTACTAGAAAAGAACTGTAAAACATTAAATAAGAAAGATTGAAAAAGGATGATTTCAAGGAGGATAAAAGTCACATTTACATAAATTATCATAGGATTAATTAAGTTAATGAGGTGTCAATAAATAGAATTATAGAATTTAATTTCTATAAAAATAGCTGAAGGTAGAGATCTTATCTGTAGACTTCCCCACATTTACTTATTATAGTTTTTCTTATTTAACAGACAATTAACTTTGTTTCATCAGATCGCTTAGCATTTCTACATCTGAGAATTAATCTCTGTTTGCTTTCTGAGAACTCATTTCTGTGTATTTTTTTTAAATCTAGGACTACATGTTTTTTGAAAGAACTAGGAATTGATTGTCAGAGTGTCAGAGTGGATTAATGTAAGTCTCCTTAGAAAATTTGAAGTCAATTGATTGAGATTATCTACAAGAAAAATTCAGTGTTTTTTTCTTTCTTTATTTAAATTACATATACCTCTGTGAGTTAAGCTGTGATGCTTGTAGCTCTGAGTATATAATTTTACTTTTCAAATTCAAAAATTTATTTTATTTATCACTGGGTTATAAATGTTTTGTACACTTTATTAGATTATTCTTTGTATATTTGGAGAAAATATAGGATGTTTTAAATTGAAATGCAAAACTTCCTTTAAAAGACTACTTGAATTATAGTCTGTGTTTCCAAAGCAAACACTAAAGCCTTATTAAAGTAGTGTTAATGTATAATTATATTTTATTTTAAAAAACTATTTATAATTTTATATGTAAAATTAATATGCAAATATTAATATTAATATACTCATAGAACAACTTAAAAATTGACACAATTTCAGTTTCTTTTACCATACTAAATACTTAATATTCATATTCTTAAGTAAAAGTAAATGTGCATTTTTTTTATTTTCAGGAAAGCACACTATATTTGACTTATTCTATCAGCTAATCTAGTACTATAAATAAGATTTTTGTAATGACTACATGAAATATTAGCAATTTTTATGGTTTTCAGTGAATAAAGAAAGACCTGACTCTGTGACCTTATCCAAAAGACAGACTCATTCTAAAATTTGGTATTGTTATCACTTTTGGAGTTATTTATTACTACATGGAATGGTTAGCTCCTGTATTCTATCATTCCTAGAGTATGTTAGTTATAAGATTAATCAGGTGTAAATTAAATAAAAAATATGTGTATCTTTACAGCGCATACATCATTAGTGGTCTTAGGTTATCTATGCCAAAAAATCAAATGCCTAAAGTAAAATTTGTTGATATAATTTTTGCATATTTTATTTTTGTTACTAAAAAACTGGATAATCCATTCAGGTGGCATTTTTGACTGTACACATTTACCTCCTATAAAACCACTTTTAAAAAGAGCACAGCAAAAATAATAAAAATAATAATAACTAAATCACTATTGGAAATAAAACAAAATGAAATTACTTTCTTATAAAAATAAATAAAATTGTTTTTATTTGTTTTCAATTTTTAGAGATTGAATTTTTTTTCTTATTTTAATTTTGTATATATTAAGGATCTATACATTTTTAAGGAAAAATTCTATAGTAAGATATGTATGAAAGTCTACATAAGTACACAGAGACGTTTTCATTCCTTTTACTAGTTGCATAGTATGTCATTAAGCTGTGTCATAGCTTCTTCAAACAATTCCCTACAATTGGACTTCCATATTCCTTGAAATTTTTTGCTATTCCAAGTAAGCTTTCATGAATAAACAAGCATACATATTTTATATTTTTCCTAGTGCATATTTGGAAGTGATTTGAAAAGTGGAATATCTGTTCAAATCACCCTCCGTAGAATTTATTTCTCTATGAATTCCCATCAGCAATTTAGAACAGTGTGCAGTTGCCCAGAGCCATTCAAGTATATATTACTTTATTTTTGTGTTGTGTCCGATCTGTTATCCTGTCATAGTTTAAATTTTTGATTGTCTCATTTTCTTTTTTTAAATTTTTTTCTTTTTGTTTTTTGTCTTATATTTGTTTTATTTTGATTGTCTCATTTTTGATAAAATTTAGCATTAAAAGAAGGGGAAGACCTAATATTTTGTAGTAAAATCTGTATCAGTGTTGGAAACTAGATTTTCCACCTGTCAGAAACTTAAAGGCATTTGTAATCTGTTTTGTAGAGAAGATTGAATTGAGAGAGGAGACAGCCAGCCCACAGTTTACTTCATGCAAAGGATAAGTGTTCTTAGGAAATAAGGGCATCCCTTTCATCTTCAGCATCAGTGCTCTACCAAAGCCAATAGCCCCAAATGACAAATGTTGGATGAGAACATTGGTATGACAGTGGAGCTACAGAAAAAGCAACGTCTAGATGACTTCCCAGCAGCCTAAATAATTCATCAGATGCCATTTTCCAATGATGAAGTATACTCAGGGCACTCACTTCTAGCATATGTTTAGTACAGACAGTATGCCAAGTCAAGTGGATGTATTCGTATGTAACTTTAGTTAGGCCAGTTAGAGAAGGGGAAGGCTTGCAAAGATGGCAGTCAGATGCAAAACCAACCCAACATGAGGATTAGAGGTACTGACATTATTTCTTTTATAGCCATATCTTACTTTCCTTTCTTCTCTCTTTGCATAGGATTCTGGATCTTTGGCTACACAAACTATAACTGATCTATATGGTTTCTTCCTTCTTCTACTGTGCAAGAAAGATGTCAGGAAAAATTCACACACTATCTGTGGAACTCATTTAAATTCAAATACTAGATAAATGGTTTTTTTTTTGCTTTGAATAGTCACATAGAAAAATCATCAAACATCAACAATTATCAATTTAATTAATAAAATACTAGGAATTGCAAAAAGTCTTAATTTGAATCTTAGTGAGATTTGAGCAAAGGGTGGTGTATTTGTTTCTGAAACAGACATAGAGAAAAAAAAGAACATTCTGATGTGCCAAATTTTAATAAAATTGAAAAATATGATGACCATATTTTAAAGTATGATGGAGGCACTGGAACAACAGATTACATAAAGTAGATAGCTAACACAATAAACTGAGATAAGCTTTGGAAATTCTCCCAGAAGTAAGATTAAACACTAAATATAAAGAAAAAAGCTAAGACCTAGAGAATAGATATATCAATTTCAAGTCATGCACGATAAGAATTCCAGAAGCAGAAATCAGATGAAGGCAAGAGAATATATTTTTAAAGAAAATTTATTTGCAATCAAGACATAACTGTAGTCTTTATGTTAATGGATTTGCTATAAAGCAGACAAAAATGAATGAATATGATATACTTTTAATGATTCTTTTTCAAAAAAACAATTATTAGATGCCTAAAATATGGCAGATATTGTTAGGTAGTAATAGGATAGTTTCTGTGGCTTAACTTCCATGATATATCCACATTCTAGTTTATTATTGTTTCTACCTCACCTACAGCATTTAATCAAATTTAGCACACTTTAACAGCAGCATTTAAAAGAACCAAAGGATTTAGAACATAAAGATGGATTATATAAAAGTATTTTTGTCCTTGTCCCCATTTTCCCATACCCACCTTTGAGTGGAGACCTTAGCACTGCAGGAACTTTTTCCTTCAGCATGATGTGACTTATACAGATATGGTGTCTTAGACTCATTCCCAACAATAGCTCCCTTTGCTCATCTTTCTTACCTTGAAAAAGCAAAGGAAACGTATCACATCTCAGCACACCATTTTGCCCACCAACCTAAATCTTGGCTTCTAGATACTATTTTCAACTCAAAGCAACTGGTGTTGTTTTGAGAATGGTTGACCCCAGAATTTTGGTAGGGAAAGGTATAAGATAAGCTTTGTACAACTTTTCTAATCAAGGAGGTACTCAAGTATGGATGCTGACATGTCAAAAGGATAAAGGAAGGAATGTGAAAGGGCTCTCACCAACAAAATTAAGGATATTATTACCTTCTGAATAAAATAGGATACAGTAAGTCCATACTGATATTCTTATGAGTAAATAAATTAAATAAAGGTTTTATGAAGATCACAATATACATGGTTTCAATTTATTTTCCCCCAAATTCTTTTAATTTCAGAGGGAAAATGTGTAACAAGTTAGTGTCTAGCAGCCAACTCTATTAAAGTAAATTTAGAGTAAAATGATTAAAGTAGACATCATCAGTTATGGGATAAATTAAAATCAAATACCACCTAATAGGATGCACTAAGACACAGCATCACGTGGATCTTGATGTATACAGGATAGAAGATAATAGAGTCTTTTTTTTTTTTTTTAATGCTTGATGAGCTTGCCTGTCCTTGTGGTAAAACTTTTGGCCTGCAAATTGTGTTTATCTAGTCCATAACTTCGCTTACTTTCAAGTATGTTGTACAGTTATCTTTGTTGCACCCCAGACTTCATATTCTTCTAGTGATAATGTCTGCTCAAGATACAGGCTACTATGCCAGAGGGTTTTACCGCTTGTTTGCTCCTCGGAGGTAATCTGTATCTTGCAGCATTCTTAGCTGTAATTCACTGTTCTTTCCACGCAATTATTGTCAGTTAGTTGCTGGTGGGAGACAGGGGACAGAATATTCTCTGATGTTTTGGTTTAAGCCTCCCTCTTAAGCAGGCACACCCCAGTTCAATGTAATCCTGAAGTCAGAGACTGTGGAGTCTTCACCAACTTAACTTCTTTAATCATGTCGTCATGCAGCAAGCATTTGCTAAGAGGCCAGTGCTGGGTAAAAATCTGAGTTGTGTCTGGGTATGTTTATGTGAAGGGAGTTGTGGGATGGAGAGGAGAGAGTTGATAAAACTTTCAGGCAAAATATATTAAACAAGCAGACAAATCTAATGGTTTTGGATGGAAACATATTAGAGTAAGAAAGTTCTGAGGAAGCTCCTTTCATGGCCCCTTGCCTTAAGTGGCTTAGTCGGGAGAAACTACTTAGAGTATTGTCTCTACTATTTTCCTAAAAGAGAAAGGACATCCTTTACACAGCCCTTCCTTCTCTCACCTCTCTTTACTCCCACTCCTTCGCTGGAAGTCAAGCATCCTTGTCCTGAGAGGGAAGGCAATGAGTGAGAAGTTTATTTTCCTGCTCTAGGAGGGCCTAAAACCCAAGAGAGAAGTTTGGGTGCTTGCCTCATACTAGGACCTTGTGTCACTGTGGGGTGGTTGTGACAGTGAATGGAGGATCAGTGGGTATCCCTGACTAGGGGTAACATTGAGGAGGAGGAGTTGTGATAGTTGGGGTGTGGAGCTGTGTTGTGTCGTGGGAAGGAATTTCTGGGTACATGGATCAGTGGGAATGGGGGAGAATAAAGAGGAAGGGAAAGAAAAAGGCTAAGAGATGTTACTGCCTGACCTGATCACCTCTTGGGAGGAGACTTGGGAATGGGGGAAAGTGAAAATGTAGACTAGAGACAAGGCTGAGAATAGAAACAAAAAAGAACACATAGGCAGTTAAATTGCAGAAAATCACTGTGTGGACTCTTGGCATCAACTTAATTAGCATCTATCTACAACTTAGATATAAAAGTTTTAGCTGAATTTGGGCTCAAAAGGAGCTATTATAACATTAGTGTAATTAGAAAAAGCTCAATAGAGAATTGCTGCCATAATTTAAAGATAGAATGATTTAAAATGGTTCTGGGCACAATTAGGTGCTACTGATGCTGTGACATGCCAGAAGAGTACACAGAAGTTCTCTCTAAGTCCTGCCCTAATCCTGCCCTTGTTATTACCCCCCATGCAATGGCTGCCTTTCCTAGAACCTTCCTGCACCTGACCCTATCTCTTTCAAGCTCTGTGTTTCTCCCTGTGCCTTAATTTTCCTCATTTTTCAATAATATAGTTGTCATTGATAATAGTATCTACCTGTGTTAGTCTGTTTGTGTTGCTCCAAAAAATACCTTAGTCTGGGTAATTTATAAAGAAAAAAAGGATTATTTCGTTTCCTTTTAGTCATGCTAATCTCTCTAGCAAGTGGTAGCTCTACAGCCCTCTTTTATTCCTCTTCTGAAAATGCTTTTTCCTTCTGTCTACATGGCTAGGCTGCAACATTTTATGCTTTGCCTCCCTTTTAAATATAAATTTCAATCTTAAGTCATTTATTTGCTCCCACATCTGAGCATAGGCTATGAGAAGCAGCCAGTATAAATCTTGAATGCTTTGCTGCTTAGAAATTTCTTTCACTAGATACCCTCAGTCATCATTCTTAAGTTCAACCTTCCACGAAGTCCAGGGACATGGACACAATGCAGCTAAGTTCTTTTCTAAGGCATAACAAGGGCGACCTTTGCTCTAGTTCCCAATAAATTCCTCATTTCCACTGGAGTCCTTGTCAGTTTGACTTTCACTGTTTGCATTTCCATCAGGATTTTGGTCACAGTCACTTACCAAGTCCCTAAGGAGTTCCAATCTTTCCCTTGTCTTCCTGTCTTCTGAGCACTCCAAACTCTTGCCCTTTCCTTTTCCATGTGACGTGCTAGTTCCCTTCACCTTTCATCTTGATTGTAAGCTTCCTGATGCTGGCACTATGTTTTATGTGTATCCTGAAGAACCATGAGCCAAACAAATTTCCTTTTTTAAATAAATTACTCAGCCTCAGATATTCTTTTATCGCAATGCAAAATCAATTAATACACTACCTGATAAGGTCAGTATGAAGATTTAGTGATCTAATGCGGGTCCAGGGACATGAGAAGTTTACTGTGGTAGTACAAACATAGAAAATAAAAAGGGCTGGGTGTTGGTAAAGATCAATAGTTTTTAAAACACAGGGAGGTGGCTCAAAGCCAATGTGGAATGTTTGGGCTAAATTAGATGAATATTGATTATCCTCTCAGAAGAGAAAATAAGTCTTTATGCAAGATGCCAAACTAAGGAGTGATTCTCATCTCGTAGAAGTGTAGGGTAGCATCTGGGCTACAGACTGTATTTTGTTACCCTCATGGCATCAAAATGTGGAAGCCATTTTCTGAGGGGAGTAACAATGTCATACCATAAAACTAGATGAAACATAGCTGAACAATATAGGATTTGAACTCAGGATTTATAAGGTGGGAGGGCTATAGAATGATAAGCAAAACACAGAGCTCTGAACTTACTGTTCCTGTAAACCAAGCACTGAAGTTATAAATTTTAAACTAATATTATTATTTCTCTGACTGAAAATATCCTGTTAATGACAGGTTATAAATTTACTTAATTTGCAAATCAACTAAATTTGGAAAACCAAAGCTTGAAATCTACTTGCCTACTAATGGCAATTTGTTTCTGCTTGTGGATTCTGGTCTGTTGTCATTAATATATTGAGGTTATTTTTGTCTGGCAGTGATAGAAAACAAACATTGCCTTATTTCTTTCTAAAATTGCATTTTCTTTCGAGAACCAGATGCTAAGAAACATTTCAGCTTTAATCACATATTGCCAGTAGACAGTAGGCATTCGGAGATAATCCAGAGAAATTATCTTTCAGATACGTTTTACAGAGTAGATTGGATCGTAGTCTCCCTTGTAACTTCTAAGTACATTTCTGTTAAATTGTACTGCCAGAATTTTCTCTCTGTTGTTTGTAATCACAAGCAGAAGTGGTTTTATTTGCAAAATCCTTTCTTTTGCAAATCTATTTTTTTGTGTGTGAAAAAGATGGTCACTCACATAAATGCATTTGTGGCATTTATTCCATTAGAACTGAGGGGGGAACCACTATAAAAACATAAAATTGATCGACTTAAAAGAGATAAAGTTAATTATCAGTCATTTATTAAATACCTACAAAGATATTGCTCTGGGCCAGTGGTTTTGTTAGTTATAATGGTCTCAATAATTAACAAAATTATTATACTCAAGGTGCTTAAGTGCAGGCATACATGTGGAAAGTGTTTTGACAGAGTTCAAGATATTATAGGTGGTATTAGCAATGCTGAGCTCAGTTTTAATGAAATTCTTCCTGGGGATGGTGACTTTTAAACTAAGACAGTTTGCATGGCACAAGGGAATTGGGGAGAATATAGTTTTAGACAGAGGAAAGAATATGGACAGAAGCCACATTTGTCCTCTGCAATGGGGCTGGACCATTAGCTTTCTATTACTGTGTGCCTTGTGAGTGCTGGACAGGGATGGAGGTGAGACATGTGAAGGAAGGCTTAGATTATGTCAATACCTTGTTAGCCATGTTAAGAAGTTCATTCATTTTATCCATGCTCTTTCTCTTGACTGGACTGCCTTTCCTAGACCTTCCAGCCATTTCTGAAAGATTAAACCAAGCGTTCCCTTCTCCATGTAGCTTCTTTCAGTCTCCAAGAATCCTGATGGTGGGCTTCTCTGAAATTATACCTTTTTCTTTAGCACCATGACTTGACTAATTGTTCTCTAGGAACTAGTATAGATTCTACAGTTAGAGTTCTTTTTGAACATGGGCAGTACCTTCTAGTGATTGAATATTTTTCATCACCTAAAACTGTACACATGGTATATGGCCTAAAATTGTTGAATTACCCATCTTTCAAATGTACAGGGTAAATTCATTCATATTGTAAATCTTGAAAGTTCTCAAGATTGTCAAAGTCCATTTGTATGAAGATACTGAGATTAGCAGTTGTTTAAATAAAAAGTGAAGATCATATTTTTAAAATGCATGCATTTTTTTAAATAAATTGAGGATGAAGTTTACTACTACTGCTACTGCTATTATATATTATTATATCATTTATTTATTTTCCAGTCTGGATGTAGGGACAAAGGCCAAGTGTGGACCTGCCATTCTGCCTTGTCTTTCTTCCATAAAGATACACGTTTTATTTTTGTATAAATGGAATCAGAATTTAAAGACACATAAAAAGGTAATTTAGTCCAGAATACTAGAATACTAGATTTTTACTACCACTGTCTAGTGTTTCATATCTACTTTAGCAATTATTATATATATATTTTTTGATGGAGCCTCACTCTGTTGCCCAGGCTGGAGTGCAGTGGCGTGGTTTTGGCTCACTGTAACCTCCGCCTTCCAGGTTCAAGCGATTCTCCTGCCTCAGCCTCCCAAGTAGGTGGGACTATAGTCATGTGCCACCACACCCGGCTAATTTTGTATTTTTGGTAGAGACGGGTTTCTCCATGTTGGTCAGGCTGGTCTGGAACTCCCGACCTCAGGTAATCCACCTGCCTTGGCCTCCCAAAATGCTGGGATTATATGTGTGAGCCACCGCACCTGGCCAACAACTAGCTTTAATAAGTGTGTTCAAAGAATTCAGGTTAGTTCTTGTAGAAAATATTTTTAAATTAATATTTAATTAAAGCATTAAGTAATATTTATCTGCTTTCTGTAACATTTATATATATATATTGCATCAACTGGTTTAAGAAAAAAATACAAATCACTCTTTGTAGGTGTAGAACTCAATTTGTTAGGGTAGATATACCCTCACAGTTAGAGAAACAAAGGGACCCATTTCATCTCCTAGCCACACATATTCAGTGTAATTTTGGTATTATGGGTAGGTTTTATAGAGAATTTAAAAGTCAACTCCATAGTTTGGGTAAATGAAGATTAGTTAAGAGAATGCCTATCTTGACTTCCTTGGAAGTTCTTTGTCTGACAATGAAATCAGTATTCATCACCAATCCAATAGGTAGAAAAAGCAGACACTTTCATATATCATTTCGATGGATGGATGGATGGATGGGAAGAAGGAAGGGAGGGAGGGAGGGAGGGAGGAAAAGGGGGAGACAGGAAGAAATAGGGAAAAAATAGAATGTTCTTTTGATGGCAGAAAAACTAATTAGAATTAGAAGAATTGATTGAATTAAAGTAATTTCTCAGTTGGCAATCATGACAGTAATTTGATTCTAGCAAGAAAGCATTAATAGTTTTTATAGTTAGTGGTTGAAAGGTTGAGGAGTAAAAGTGTATTTATATTGTCTCAAAGTAGTACTCAGTAAGATATTTGTTATTTACAAAGAATAAAATGATAACTTTAATGCAGCAAAACATTTAACTCAGCTTTCTGCAATTATATAACAAATATCCACTTTTCTCCAGTTTCAAATAATAGATTCTTCATCTTTATCTGAGCCCTCCCCTATCAGCACCTTTAACTTCATATTTTTAACATCAGTCTGCTCATGATGATGTATTATTTTAAATAGTACTTATTTTATCTTCATGAACCTCACTTCTTCTGAGTACTGACCAACAGAGTCATAAACATCATATTTCTATGAAACATCTGTTTAAGGCATCTACACTTTTTCATTATACTCCCCAGAATTCTTTCAGCCTGGCCCATTGCCAAATTCTAAAGCTACTTTCACATTTTTAGATACTTGTTAAGTGTAGCAGCCTACTTCCAGATACAGTTGCCACCCTCTCGTCTGCATGAAACCCAAGCCACATCCAGTGTGGAAGCCCCAAATAGTGGATAGTACCAAACTCTATATATGACTTGTCACATAGTTACCAGAGTGAATATGTCCTTGCATGGTTTATGTCCTGGTGCGTTTCTTGCACTTTTATGTATGTAGTTTCTTTTGGTCATCTTCTTCCTGAAGAGCCACGTTTGGATGGCATACTTTCTCCTTAACTTCTTTAACTGTTCTAGAAATGTGGCAGTAACTTCTTAATGGACAGATGCAGCCTCTTACTTGCAAATAAATGATTTGATGCCATTCATTTCAGGGGATCCCTTGCTGAAGTCTTCCTATAGTGTTCAGTGCTTCCTGGTGCAACACACTTAATGATTTTTCTGTCTTAACTAAGCACTTATCTTGCCCTGTGGCTGTAACTTTTATAGTTTGTGGTACAGCAACAAAACAAAACAAACACAAATTTATTTTCCCTTCCTTATAATTTCATGGATAGATTTGTTCTTACTGTAGGTCTTTGCAATCTCAGTGTATATATATATATATATATATATATACATGTATATATATATATATATACATATATATATGTGTGTGTGTGTGCGCGCGTGTATCTATATTATTTTTTTCCTTATAAGTTGAGAATTTTCACCTATTCACTTAAAGGAAGCACTTTATGTCTTCTCTTTATCATATCTGTATTGCCAGGGGTACTACTCTTTCACTTTGGGCCCTTATTAAGTAAAATAGGAGTTATTTGAACACAAACACTGTGCAACATGGCAGTGAAAGTGATAATGAAAATGGCTCATTGGAGAATAGTATAGGTAGTCTGGATCTGCTGGATGAAGAGATAATTCACATCCTATAGGGACAGCTCAAGATTTTAACACACTGCTCAGACTGGCACACAATTTAAAACTTATGAATTATTTATTTCTGGAATTTTTCATTTAGTGTATTTGGACCTCAGTTGACCACGCTGGTAACTGAAACTCTAGAAAGCAAAACAGCAGAAAAGCTTCGATTCCTGTGCCAAAATTTATATTGGGATTTAATTGCTGGTATAACCATCTGCCACAAACTCAGTGGCTTTAAATAAAACAAATTTATTGTCTTATAACTTTTGAGGTCAAGAGTCTAAAATGAGTCTTACTTGGTGTGATGGACTAAGTGTTCGTGTCCCTCCAAAATTCATATGTTGAAGTCCAAACCTCCAATGCTACTGTATTTGGAAATGGAGCCTATAAGAAAGGAATTAAGATTAAATGAGGTCATAAGGATGGAGCCCTGATCCCAAAGGGTTAGTGTCCTCATAACAAGAGTCACCATAGAGCTCTGTCACTTTCTGGGTACAAGCACCAAGGGAAGACAGAGTGAGAAGGTGGCCATGTCTAAATCAAGAAGTGAGCTCTCACCAGAAACATACCATGCTAACACCTTGATCGTGAACTTCTAACATCCAGTTCTGTGAGAAAATAAATTTCTGCATTTAAGCTCTCTGGTCTGTGGTAATTTATTTGGGCAGCCTGAGTAGATTAATACATTGGGTTAACATCAAGTTATTGGAAGAGTTTCGTTGTTTCTGGAAGCACTAGGGAAGAATCTGTTTCTTTATCTTTTCATCTTTTAGAGGCCACCTCTATTTCTTGACTTGTGTTCTCCTTCCATCTTCAAAAGCAAATGCTTCTACTGTAATATCTCCATTCTGATTTCCATTCTGCTTTCCTCTCCCACATTTAAAGGAAGCTTGGGATTACATTTGCCCACCTGAATAATGCAGGATAATCTACCTATTTTAAGGATACCTGATTAGCATTATCTAAAATATTTTAAGGTACACAAATCATATTTATAAGTCATTAGATATTAAACCTCCTTACTAGAAAAAAATGATGGAAAGCAGATGTTTTAAGGGTGAAAATTTTTTTGTGTGGACCAAATGAATGACTACTTTATGTGACTTATAGAATAATCTTTATTTTATAGTTATACCTGCCATTAGTGGAGCCTAAATAAGTAATGTGTTATAGATACTATTGATGCAAATGGAATAACTGATACAGAAGACCAGTAATAGCAGTCTTTAGTTAGGTTGCTATCCCTGTCCTCTATATTTATCAGGAATTTCAGCCACCTGCAGGCTAGCTGAGTGGAGAAAAAGTAGTTACAATTTACATAAATAAGAAATAAAGAAAAAAAATTAAAAAAAAAACACTTTGTGTGGGATTTGCATCAGCTGCATTCATTGGCCAGTTTTATAATCTGTGACTCAAAATCTAACATGTACACCCTGGAGACTTGAGTTCTTAAGCAATTCCTGCAGATTCCTGTTTGTTTTCCTGTTTAATATTACTCATGCCAGATCACACCCTGACTTCTAGGCATGAACGATGTGAATGAGGTTATCTCAGAGAAACTCTTCATCAGGGTGCCAGCCAGAATGGGCAGAACAAGGTAAACCTGATGCCAATAGAAGATTAAAGGAGATATCTTATATCTCTGTGTTTGTATGTCTCTGAGAGTTTTGTTTTATGACTCAAATGGACCAGAACTGAATCTGCTAACTAGGGCTCATGACTCAACTGCCTGATGGGGCCAGGCAAATAAGATAAATACACAATGCTGTAGCTGTCTTAAAAGAGCCAAGAATGAGCAAAGACAGGACACCGAAAGTGCAGCTCAGCTAATGTCTCTCAAATTAAAAACAAAGATGCAAACAATTTTTTCCGGCTAAGTCCTCACCTGTTCTGACCTGATTTGGCCCAGAGGTCCCCATTTGCACTGACCTAACAATTGTGTGTCACACCCATTCCCTACTTTCAGAAGCAAATGACTTATAAACACATGCATGTATTCATAGAACTAATTACCTTCAAAATTCTTAATAGAATGTTTTTTGTTGTGGCTACTTGGATCTGCCTATCTTAGATTCTTCCTAACAGCAACTTTGAGAGACAGTGGGTTGTGGGCCACACAGAGGACCAAACCGTTTCAACTTACCTGTCAGGTAGCCATTCCATATGTAGTTTCCAGAAACTCTTCTGTTTCAAATGTCGATATCCATAACTGACAATTCCCCTTTGTTTATGTATATAGTCCTTTTCATTGCTGATCTAATTGAGATTTTAAAACTCGCACCAAGAAATTGTAGTCTTCAGGCAAAAGGATCTATAACCTCACTGATGCTTCATTGCTACTTATCTAATATGAGATAAAATCCTGCTCTCTTTTTGTAGAATATGCCCAGGTTTCTGGGTTTAGTATACTATAACTCTGAGAGACCCTCATAGATCTTCAGTATACAAAGCAGGAAGCAGATATTTATGTTTGTATCTAGGGGACGCAGAAATAAACAACATAAATGCAGAATAAAAAAGCCTTCAACCCCATCTTTCTTCTGATTTATAATTAAACATTTGTGTAAAATTTGTCTGTACAGGCCTCTTCTTTCCTGCCCTGATGCACTTTTTCCATCTATACTCCCCACTCTCCTTCATGACCCATCACAGTACCTTCTCCTGTTTCTCTTTGGGATATCTGGGTTCTCTTTTTAGCTCTTTCATTAATAAATCTAAATGACCACACAATATCTCTAAGGCCCATCTTTTTGACCTATTAAACTGAGATGAGAGTTGAACTAGGAATAATCTACAAGGTTCCACACTAAACTAACTACAAATCTTTTTTTTTTTAATGTATGAGATTCCATGAATCAAGCCAGAATTTTCCTCCAGAATTAATAAACTTTTAATTTGGCTGAAGCATAATACAATATACCTATTCTCTCTAAGGATTCAGATAAATCATCCATTTTATTTAATTGCATGGTCATCACTTTTTTGAAGATTTCTGTTATAGAAAGTAAATTGTGTCAGTGTTTAAAAGATGTTTGTATTTTATGTTCACCAGCATCAACATATTGCTTTATTAAACTAGAGATAATCAAAAATAGAGCAACAATTTAGAGTTGAGATTTTTTGAGAAAACGATTGAAAGATAACCAATTTATTCAGCATGATTGCTTTTCATCTTTTTGTTTGGTGATGTGTTAAAAAAATCAACAAAGCATTACTTAGCAAACATTAAAAATGTGTATTTATATATACATATACAACAACACATATAATATTACACTGTATAAAACCAATATACTTATTGAAAATGTAGAAACATTGATAAATAGGTAATTGGAATTTTTTAAAAGTGTGTTTGTCATTTATATGTTTGTATATTTACCAGTGCACACAAATGCTGTATTTTGATTTGTTTCCTACTAATAGTCTCCTTACATATGTTGATTATTCTACATACACATTTAGAGTAAGAGTGTCTGAAAATATGCTTCTCAATAAAAGCAATCAGAACACTGGTAAAACCTGTCAAATCAATTTCCAGAACTTGGAAAATTAACCCAAGACTTGCAACAATGTGAAGAACATTTGTTCAAGAAAAATGGGAAAATCTCTGTAAGAAGATTGAGCTTTGTGACATTTTAACTTATCCTATTTCCATCACCTCCTTCTCAGCATTACAGAAACCTTGAAAATCAACTACCTTGAAGTCACAGTAGCCATAATGTGATTGATAGAATAATGGCTCCCAAGGATGTGCATATTATAATCTCCCCAGTTATAATTACCTTGCCCTAAATGGCAAAAGTGACTGTGTGTATGTGATTTAAGTTAAGGCTCCTAGGATGGAGAAATTTTCTTGTATTATCTGTGAGGCCTTGATATAATCACAGGTGTCCTTATAGGAAGAAGGCAAAAAGTAAAAGGGGGAAGGAGGTGCTATGCTGCTGACTTTGAAGATGGAGGAAGGGGTCCACAAACCAAGGGACGCAAGCAGCCTCTGGAAGATGGGTAAGGCCAGAAAAAAATGAAACAAAACAAACCTGAAACAAAACATATTTTTTCTTTCCTTAGAGCCCTTACAAAGAAGAGAGTCCTGCTGATTCAATTTAGAATTCTTAATTTCATTACTCTAATATGATATATGTATTGTTTTAAGCCACCAAGTATGTTGTGATATGTTATAGCAGCAACAGGAAATTAATACAGATTTTGGTACTTGAAAGTGGGACATTGATTGCTATAGCAAGTACCTAAAAATACATAAGTGGCTTTGGAATTGTGTAATGAGTTAAAGCTGGAAGAACTTTGAGAAGCATAATAGAAAATTCCTGGATTACTTTAAAAGACTGTTAGTGGAAATATAGTTATTAACAGTACTGTATGTGAGGGCTTAGAAGGAAATGAAGAAGTTATAGGAAACATGAAGAAACTGTATTTTTCCTGGATTATGATAGAATGCTTAACCAAACTGTGCTACAATGTATTTTGAAAGATAAATTTGTAGGGCATGAACTTGGAATTGAGATTCCTAGAAAAGTGTTGAAATTCCTTTTGTTTATGGTACACTGTGGAAAAACAAAAAGAAGAGAGAAAAAAATATACTGAGAGACCTTTTCGCCAAAAGGAATCAGGAGTTGATGATTTAGAAGATTTCCATCTTATCAGATTCCCACGACACTAAAATTAGCACATTCAATGTCAGGAAATTGTGCTCTTGTGCTCTGAGGAGAAGGCAAAGCGAGTGGCCTGACAACCTTTTGCTGGTGTTTCTGAAGTAGCAACATTTCATAGTATTCAATCACACAAAGGACTCTGAAGAGTTTAGGCAATATCAATGGAGGAGCAAATGACAGGGAAAGGAATAAATAAAGAAATTCACTAGAATTGCAAATGAAAACTGCCTAATAATATTACTTAGCTGAAAACATGTGCTTCCCCTTAAGAAAAATGAAGAATGATTCTGAGGGCAGAGCTGCAGGACAAGAGGGAAGAATACCGAAGCTAGAAGGTAAAACTGACAGCCACTGAGGATTATTTCAAGGTGCCAAAATGTAATGGAGCCTCACATGCTGGATTTCAAAATTATTTGGGTTGATGATTCCTTTTTTAATTCTATCTTCTCCCTCTTTGAACAGAAATGCCTCTAACAGGGAAACTATCTCTGTCCTACCATTGCGTTATGAAAAGAGTAAAATGTTCTCCTGTTTTACAAGTCAAAGTTTGAAGATAAATTTTTACCCATAATGGATCATACCCATAGTCACAACCAATACCAGATTTACATGGTGAGATTTTTGGATATTTAAGCTGATGAAGTTTATTTATGGCAAGGTAATTCAATGTATTGAGCTTCTGGAGATTTGATATGGGATTTATATACTTTGCCTGTGGAACAGATATTCCTTTGGAGAACTGAGAGAGAACTATTGTAAACAGAGCAGTGGTTCCCCAGCATACCTGTATCATAATCCAAAGAACCAGTAGATGTATAACCTAGATGAAAAGAGGTCTTTTTCAAACATAACTACATTAAGGATCTTAAGATCCTTTAACATGGCAAATTATCCTGTTATCTGTATGGACCAAATGTAATTACAATACTCCTAATGCAAGAATACAAGGTCAGAGGGTAAAACAAAAGAGAAAGAAAAATATAATTACTATAGCCTTCAACAAAAACACAACCCTGAAGACCCATTGCAGACTTCTGACCACCAGAAATTAGAACACAATACATTTGGTCGATTTATTTGATATATAATATTTTACATATTTAGGTGGTACATGTGAGTATTTGTTAATTGCAGAGAATGTGTAATGATAAAGTCCAGGACATTTGGAATTATCCATCACCCTGAGTATTCATTTCTTTAAGTAGGAAATATTTCAAATCCTCTCTTCTAGCTGCCCTTAAATATATAATACATATTGCTAACTAAAGTCTCCAACAGTCCTCTTGAACATTAGAACTTGTAAAATGGAGTAGCCACTTGGGAAAACATTTAGCAGTTTCTCAAAAATTCAAATACAGTTGCTATCTGACCCATCTAAACTAAAATAGCAATAATAGTAACTCAAGTATGTATGGTCCTCTCTTTGCTAGGATTGTTTCTTTACTTCTCTTTACCTCACCTCTTATTTCATAGTCAGTATCTTTGGAATGCAAACCTGCTATTTAAAATTTACTCTGTTTTTGCAGTAAACATTTTCCAAAAGTATGTTTTCTTCTTTGTCATTATTAATATTTATCTCTTGCCTATATGTTGTGGCCTTTTTGTTATATGTTTAATTTTTTTCTTGTATCTATTTGAGAGTAGATCATACAATATTTGCCACAAAATAATGTGAGTAAATTATACAGTATTTTCAATGTATTTGTAGGCACTGTTAATCCTTCTCTTAAACTTTGAGCTGGAAGCAGGGTTTATAGATTAATTTATTTTCCAAGTTTTATTCTGAACAACCTAAGGAAAATACAGAGAATAATAAAACCCTAATTAGGACCAATTAGAAAATTTGGCTCCACAAAGATTTGTTCTAAATTTGTTAGAATCATGGTACTGCAGATAGGTATCTACTCAAACCTCATTTTAAGTTGATTTATCTTGTAATTACTTAATTTTGTTTAAATAGATTAAGGTCACATGGGAATAACAATCTGCATTAACTGGTACTTGTATTCCTGAAGTTCTTTTTTGGTATTTGATGAGAGACAGTCTTCATATATAAAACCACAAATATTAAAAACAGCTTACAAAACAAAATATGAATGTTGTTTATGCCATTAAATGTAGAAGAGCTAAACCTGTAGTTGTATAGTCTTGTCTCTAACCAGGTTAATATGTGTTGATAATGTTAGATGTTAAACATAAAAGGCTAAATATTTTCAATTTGTCTCATTCTAAAGCACTTACATAATCTAGATTATGGCTATTTATGATCTTCGACCCTGGTTGTCTACACCAGGGACAATAACCAGCTGTCCACCTGGATTGGAATATTTGCATCAGGTATAGCAATGTATTTCTTAACTTATTTGATCTATAATAATATGAATTGGTATAGTCTCAGAATATAATTTGTTATAAAAATTTTTGACTGTGGATTAAAAGACTGTGACTTTAAGATTTTTCTGTTTTATTTACATATACATTTTTATTTTTATTTTTATTTTTGATTGAGATAATAAACTTATACTTTACATATTATAGTATTGTTACTTATGAGTTTATTTCGTAGGATGCCCACTTAAAAATAAATGCTTACTTTTAAAATAGAAAATTGGATTTTGTGAATGTAGTTTATGTTAATTTCAAGAATCTTTACTTTATCTACTGTTTGTGTATGAGAAGCCTGGTATGAAAATGTAAAATATAAAAAGAAATATTAGGAAAATATCTCTCATTCTGTACTAGATTGAATAAAATTAAGGTTTATGCTGTCAATTCTGATTTAGTTTCCTGTGATATTGTCTCTTGAATAATTAACTTTGACAATTTAGCTGCCTATAATCATTGGCCACATTTTATTTTGTAATACTTTAAAAATAAAATAGTATATATGTAACTTATTGAAAAGGTTGTTTACATTTTCAATGTTTATTTTAAACTTGTCACAAATTATGATACAAACATAACAAAACCTTTTAGCATTTGGGTAAAAACTATATTAAAATATTTATTCAAATGATAGTATAGATAGTCTCTGAATTTCAAAAATATTTCTGATATGTATTTAAAATTTTTTGTTAACCAAATTATTGAGTATGTTAACAATAGAGAAAAGACAAAACACCTTATAGACTGTAATAATAATTTTGCATTTGCCTGTTTCCATGGTGAAGTAAAATAAAATTTAATTTTAGACTGCTATAATATACAAGTGACAGAAAAAAATCAGAGATGTTGACAATAAATCAATTACTTTAAACATATTCAATGTAAATATTAAGTTGTGTGTTGATAAGTACTTTAAATGTAGTTTGAATACTTCATAACCACCTTCTTTATTTTTATTCTAATAGATAAATCAGTTAACAGTGTGTCAACATTTTGACCCTCTGGGAGGTATGTACCAAATACAATGATTTGTTAATTATTTAAGTCATAACTTGTTTTGTTATAGTTAGATCAACCCCCATAAATTAAAGTGCTTCTTAAGTCTGAGGAAAACTAAACCTTGCAAACATGAAGAGAATGTATAGAAGGTCTTTAGATAATAAGCAGGTAAACACAGCAATAGTCTTCTCATGAGAAAGGAAAAAAGATACTGGCTGCGGAATTATTCCTGAAAATTCTGATCTGCCATTCTGGTATACTAAACATAGGTATGACTCCTGAAATGGTTTTCCTACCCTGATTTCCTCAAATACAGGTATTTCAAAGAAGAAATAATTCTAAATTCTTCCAAAATTTTGCTAATAGAAGCAGAATGCAGGTAAGTTTCTGGATAAACCAATTGTGCTTTCAATTCTGGAAAATTAAACTGTCCTTTAGAACTTGACCTTTATCTCAACTTAGTACAAGTATTTCTTTTACTTTTCTTTTCTTTTCTTTTTTTTTTTTTTGCCCTGAGATGGAGTCTCATTCTGTTGTCCAGACTGGAGTGCAGTGGCACAATCTTGGCTCACTGCAACCTCCACCTCCTGGCTTCAAGTGATTATCCTGCCTCAGCCCCCCAAGTAGCTGGAATTACAGGTACATGCCACCACGCCTGGCTAATTTTTGTATTTCTTAGAGATGGGGTTTCACCATGTTGGCTAGGCTGGCCTCAAACTCCTGACCTTAGGTGATCCACCTGCATTGGCCTCCCAAAGGGCTGGGATTACAGGTATGAGCCACAGTGACTGGCCCAAGTATTTCTTTTATGTGGATGAAACTAACATGGATGGAAATGAGTGTCTAGTTACCAAAAAATAGTATTATCACCTTCCTTATGCATTAGAGATTCTAAAACTGAAATGGGTATTTGTAATTTATTTAACTCGTAAAAGCTCTTCCATTTAGGCATATTATAAAGGAATGCTTTCTTTCTTTTCCTTGCTGAATTATACCAAATTGCTTTATTTTATGCAAGAACATTTACTACAGAAACACCATATGTAGTTACAATAAACAAGACATATGTTAGCCATTCTGAGAGAATCAAGGAAGAATCAGATTCAGGCTTGCACTGAAGAGCTTCCTCTGAAGTGTGAGGAATTAATCTATTTGCTGTGGTTTGAATCTGTTTACTAAAGCTCAAGTGTTAGAAACTTAATCATCAATGTAATGGTGTTGACAGGTTGGACCTTTAAGAGGTGATTAGGTCACAATGGCTCTGCCCCTATGTATGAAGTAATGCCTTTATCTCAGGAGTGGGTTAGTTATTTTGAGTGTGGACTCCTGATAAAAAGATGAGTCTGATCTCCTTCCTCTCCCTCTCTCTTATTTATTTTACCATGTGATGCCTTCCCTGTGATACCATGCAGCAGGAAGGCTCTCACCAGTTGCCAGCCCCACCTTCTTGGACTTCCCCTCCTCCAGAACTTTGAGAAATAAATCTCTCTTCTTTTTATATTACTCAGTCTGTAGTATTATTTTATAGAAATACCAAACAACAACAGAAAATTGAGAAATAGGGTTGTTGCTATAATAAATACCTGGAAGTGTGGAAGCAGCTTTGGAACTGGGTCATGGGTAGAGGCTGGAAGAGTTTGTAGAAGCAAGCTAGAAAAAGCCTAGATTGCCATCAATGGAAAATTAAGGGTGATTCTGGCAAAGACCCAGAAGAAAATAGCTATAAGGAAGTCTGAGACTTCTTAGAAATTACTTAAGTGACTGTGATCAGAGGATTAGTAGAAAGATATACAGTAAAGGCAATTCTGATGAGTCTTAGAAATGAGAAACAAGGTATTGAAAATTGGGGTGAAGGCCATGCTTATTATACAACTGCAGAGAACTTGGCAGAGTTGTGTCCATGCCCTTGAGCTTTAGGGAAGGCAGAATTTAAGAATAATGAATGGGGATATCTAGCAAAAGAAATTCCTAAGCAAAATATTGAAGGAGCTGCATGATTAGTTTTAACCACTTATAGTAAGATGCAAGAGGATAGAAATGACTTAAAATGGAATTTATAATTAAAAGAGAAATAGAATGGAAAAATTTTGGAGATTTCACAGAGTAGCTGTGTAAAGAGTAAAAAGATATGTTTAGGAGAGCGAACCAAAAGTGTGGCCAAGCAGTGGTTTGCTAAGGAGATGAGTATAAATAGAAGGGAGCCAGGTACTATTCATCAAGACAATGGGAGAATGGCCTTTAAGGCATTTCTGAGAGCTTTGAGGCTTCCCTTTCCATCACAGGCCCAGAGTTCCAGGAGGGCCAAATGTTTTTGGAAGATGGATCCAAACAACGCTCCACAAGCTCACTGCTCAGGGCTGTCTTGGTTCTTTAGTCCCTGGACTTCACTGCAGTACTCCTTTGCCATGGCTCACACAGGCCCAAGTGCAATTCATGCTGCAACTCCAGAGGGCATAAGTGGTAAGTATTGGTGACATCCAAATAGTGCTTAATCTTCAGATGTGCAGAGTGCGTGAGCTGTGGGGCCATGGAAGCTTCCATGTAGATTTCAAATAATGTCAGAGACAACCTGGGGCCCAGACAGAGGCTTGTCACAGGAGCAGAGTCACTATAGAAAGCCTGCACTAGGGCAATGCCAAGGGAGTAGTCAAAGTGGAACAGCTCCAGAGACTACAGAACTGTAGGGTCACTAGCAAGCAACTCCAGCCTGAGAAAGGTGCAGGCATGAGACTCCAACTCATGAGAGCTAGAGAGTGGGCTGAAATCAGGAAAGCCATAGGGATAGAGCTGCCTGAGGCCTTAAGGTTCAAACCTCCCCACCTGAGTATGCCCAGGATGCAAGACATAGAATCAAAGGAGAGCATTCTCCTGCTTTAGGACTTAATGTTACTTTGCCTATTGGACTTTGGACTTAGTTGAGGCTTGTTACTTCTTTTTTTCTTGCCTATTTCTTCCTTTTGAAAGGGAAATGTTTGTCCTCTGCCTATTTTACCACTGTGTTTTGGAAGTAGATAATTTCATAGACTAGTAGCTAGAGGAGAATTTGCCTTGGGACAAATTGTGCCTGGAGTCCCGCCAATGTCTGATTCAGATGAGACTCTGGACTTTGACCTTTTAAGTTGTTACTTGAATGAGTTCAAAATTTGAGGCTAAGGAGTGGAATGAATGTATTTTGCATGTGAGAAAAATGTAAATTTTGGTGGCCAGAGGTGGAATGCTATGGTTTGAATGCTAAAAACTTAATTCTCAATGCAATAGTGTTGTGATATGGGACCTTTAAGAAGTGATTAGGTCATGAGGCTCTTCCTCCATGTATAGATTGTTGCCATTATGGCAAGAGTATGTTTATTATTGTATGTTCTGTCACCATATGACACCTTCCATCATATTATGATGCAGTAAGGAGGCCCTTACCATATATGCATAACTACCTACCAGAGGCCAGCCCCTCAGCGTTGGACTTCCAAGCCTCTAGAACTATGATAAGTAAATCTGTTTTTTAAATAAATTATCCAGTTTATGATTTTCTGCTATAGCAACACAAAATAAGACAATGCTTGAATAAAATATATAGTATGGAGTCATAAAATAATGAGGTAGGTAAAAACTAATCATGGAAATTCAAAGGAGAGAAACAACCACAGTAATTCATAATTTAAGAAGTCACAAAAATAGCAAAAATTCTCTTGTATGTTCTGTCACCATATGACACCTTCCATCATATTATGATGCAGTAAGGAGGCCCTTACCATATATGCATAACTACCTACCAGAGGCCAGCCCCTCAGCGTTGGACTTCCAAGCCTCTAGAACTATGATAAGTAAATCTGTTTTTTAAATAAATTATCCAGTTTATGATTTTCTGCTATAGCAACACAAAATAAGACAATGCTTGAATAAAATATATAGTATGGAGTCATAAAATAATGAGGTAGGTAAAAACTAATCATGGAAATTCAAAGGAGAGAAACAACCACAGTAATTCATAATTTAAGAAGTCACAAAAATAGCAAAAATATTGGGAATCTAAACATCCATGACTAGGGAACAGTTTCTCCAAACCAATGATTCTCTAGGTATGGTCCCTGGAACAGCAGCATCAGCATCACCTGGGAACATGTTAGAAATGCAAATCAAAACCGCATTGAAATACCATCTCATGCTAGTTAGAATGGCGATCAATAAAAAATGTGGAGACAGTGGATGCTGGAGAGGGTGTGGAGAAAAAGGAACACTTTTACATTGTCAGTGGGAGTGTAAATTAGTTTAACCATTGTGGAAGAGACTGTGGCCATTCCTCAAGCATCTAGAAATAGAAATTCCATTTGACCCAGCAATCCCATTACTGGGTATATACCCAAGGTATTATAAATTGTTCTATTATAAAGACATATGCACACATATGTTCATTGCAGTGCTGTTTATGATAGCAAAGACCTGGAACCAACCCAGATGTCCATCAATGATAGATTGGACAAAGAAAATGTGGCACATATACACCATAGAATACTATGCAGCCATAAAAAATGACAAGTTCGTGTCCTTTGTAGAGACATGGACAAATAAAAAAAACCATCATTCTCAGCAAACTGATGAGCAAACAAGAACAGAAAACCAAACACCTATGTTTTCACTCATAGGTAGGTGATGAACAATGAGAACACTTGGGCACAGGGACGGGAACAACCCTCACAGGGCTAAGTGGAGGGTGGAGGAGAGGGGAGGGGAGGGACAGCAGTGGGGGGGATGGCAGGGGAAGATAAGGAGGGATAACACTGGGAGAAATGGATGTAGGCAAAGGGGCTGGTGCCAGGGGGTTGGAGACAGCAAGCCACCATGGCATGTATGTACCTATGCAACAATCTTGCAGGATGCAGGAAGTGCATGTGTACCCCAGAGCCCAAAGTACAATAAAAATAAATAAAAAATAATAATAAATGCAAATTCTCAAGCTCCATTACAAACCCAGTGTTGATTCAGAAAATCCACAGGCAGTGGTCAATAATTTCCTTTATAAAGCCCTTCAGGAGATCCTGATGCAGGCTTAAATTTGGGAACTACCACTCTAAATGGAGACACTTTCATATAATTTAACATCTCGAGTTATTTCAAAGAATTAGCTCTGCAGATATGCCAAGAATATCTTCAGAGTATATTAAGTATAAACAATAATTACAAAGTAGAGCATATAGTTAGGAGTGTGTATGTGTGTGTGTGTGTTTAAAATATTTGTAGTTTTTTTATATGCTTGGTATATCTCTGAAAGGATGCATATGAAATGGGAAAAGATGGGGATAGGATAGGGCTGGAAGAAGAAATTATTTTAAATTTTATACTCCCATTTGCATTTTTAAAATTCGTGCCATGCATATGTAATTTCTACTTAAAAATTGATTTTTAAAGCAGTTGGAAAATAGTTTTACTAGGTTAAAAATCATGATTTAGTCTTCAATATCAAATGAAAATGTGTACCTTTGATATATGTTGACACAAGATAGAAACGTAATTATGTTCATTGCCCACAGAATCATTAAAAATGAAGAAACTCTATACTCAACCTGTTTCAAAGTTTAGCCTTAAAACAGAATGTTTAATGTATGTTAGAGTAACATGTGCTCATTAGGTATATACTCATTTCAAAAATAACACTGAGATAAAAATCATATATGCATAACTACTTTACATTTTCTCTGAAGAGGTTTTTAAAATTATTTTATGAGAGTTTTTAAAAATCAATTTTAATTAATGTCTACTCAATTTGTCATACTTAGTCACTTAATGTTATGATTTCTTTATCATAAAAACCCAGCATTTTTAAGAGCTACATAGTAATCTTCAATAGAGGATACTATGTATTTTCTCTAATTGGATACTTTCTTTGTTTTCACTTAATTTTTTCTGTTCCAAATGGTGCAGTAGTGAATATTTGATGCCTAAAACTTTCTTTTTTAAGTTTTAAAATTGTTTTATTTGTATAATAACAGAAGTAAAATTACTGAAACAGAAGATAGTAGTATTCGTATTTGCTTGCAAAAGGGGTACATTTGAATATTATCTGATTTAAACAATATATGAGAGTACATCCTACTTCCCTCAATTTAGCATAAACACAATTTTTTTAATTTCTACTATCCAGAATGGAGTTCTAATGAAATCTTTTTAAAATGTTGTAATAAGGAAAAGATGAAGAAAAAAATTAAACATGACTTAAAACATAATTGTAATGGGTTAACTTATTTGAAGTTCAAAAAGGTTACCAAAGGGCTATGCATAGAATTTTAGCAGTAAACAGAGCCAGAGAGTAGCTAGCCTATCTCTCATTTTTATACATAAGAAGACTAAGATACCAGTGAAAATTAGTTAACTAAATTCAAGCAGTTTATTATCCAATATAATTTTCACATTAGAAGGTAATTTGATACCTGTTTACATACATCTTACATCAGTATTACTAACAAATTAATATATTATTTTATTCTCTAGCCCTCAGAAAATTTGAAACTATTAAATTATATGAAATCTTGAACAATCAAGGACAGAGAATTTATTTTGCAGAAGAGAGAAATAATTGCTTCCTTCGACACCTTTGTGGATTTTCAAGGCCTTTTACTGTGACAATTTATGATAATGTGGGTAGAGATGTACTTGCTCTGCATAAGGCTCTGAAATGTAGCTGTTGCTGGAGTAGATGCTGTCTACAAAAGGTAAGTAAATATACCATCATATCAAAAAAGCCTCAATGCTGGACAGTATGATAACGTCTAAACATTGCGATTGGCTGCAAAGAATTGTCTAGAATGAAAAACGTCAGAAAGAGAATTGAATTTTTGTACCACATACCTATAGGGTGAAAATCATGCACAAGATTGCGAATTTTTTCCAAGCAATGAAGGTCATAAGCTCTTTAGATGTTTTCTATTCTAAACTATCTAACCATCCATCCAAGACTTTTCGTGACCTAAGAAATATTTGCCTATTGCAAAGTGGCAAAGACTGTATCTCATGTTGACTATAGAAACTCTATATTTGAATCAAGTGTTGAGATCTGTTTTTTCTCACTTTAATATTTAGTTGTTTAAACACCATGAATTGTAAAGACTATTCTTTTCTACTGGATTGTTTTGGCAACATTTCTGAAAATGAATTGCCAATGTATATATTTACCTATTTCTAGAGTCTGTTATCTTCCATTATTCTACCTATGTATATACATACAAATATATATACACACACAGAGAGCTAGGATCATCAGGACAATATAATATTGGCATAATACCAGCTGTAGAGTAAGTCTTAATATCAGGTAGTACGAGCCTTATTTTGTTTTGCTTTTGTTAAACCTTTTTGGCTCTCTTGGGTCCTTCACATTTTCATATAAATTTACAAGAAGCAAATTATCATATTCAAAATCCTGCTGAGATATTGAGGGTATTTAATCAATGAATTAATTTGAAAAGAACTGATACCTTATTAATATTGAATCTTCTGCTCAATGACTATGGTATATTTCTCCTTATATTTAATAACTCCCAGTAACAGTCATTTTCAGTACTTAGGTCTTACAAACATCATATTACAAATCAATTTAATTATTTTATATTTCTAGATACAATTATAAATAGTATTTTTAATTTAAACTCTCCATTTTTGTTGCTCATATATAGTATATAGAAAATTATTGCTCTGTGTACACTGACACTTTACTCTGACCTTGACAAAATCACTTATAAATTCTAGTAGCTTTTTTGTAAAGTCACTAAAGTTTTCTACAATTATGGATATAAAAATACAGATTTTACTTCTTCCTTTGCCATCTATGTGCTTTTTATTTGTATGTATAGCTTTATGAATATATGTATTTATTTACTGTCTGGATTCTGGAAATCTCAGAAACATCTTGTTGTTCTCATGTGTTTCACTGCATCTACTTATATTTTGAGACTTGAGGCTTTGTTTTTCCATCTGATTCTGTCTAAATAATTTGACAGTTTTGTTTTGTTTTGCTGGCATACTTATTTTCTTCTTTTCCGTGAGAGTTTTGGGGAGGTTTACAAGCCATACCACCATTACCATCATCTTGACTAAGCAGTCTTTGTTTGCCTTTTAATCAGTCATACTTATACAGGGTAAGAAAAAGGAAAGGAAAGGGGAAAAGGGAAAGGAAAGAGGGAGGGAGGGAGGGAAGGAAAGCAAAAACAGAAAGTCGGAATTCTGTACTTTTTGGAAAAGAAAAGTACAGAATATAGTGGAAGTATATTCAGGAGAAACAATTTCTCTCAAATGCTTGCTTCCTAGGCTCCTACATCCCTTTTTAGATACAACTACTATTGTAAGTTTCTTATGTATTTTTCCACAGTTACTTTGTGAATATTTGTATATTACGTAAACATAGCATGTTTATGCTATGTGTGTAACACAGTTGCATATTCTTCAACTTTTTTTTAACACTACAACTTGAGGATTACATCTATGTTTAGAGTTTATTTGTTCCTTTAAATGGCAGCATAATAACCCATTATATGGATATGCCATAATTTATTCAGCAAGTCTCTATTGAGTCTAATTAATTGAGCTTTAAATAAAAATTGGGATAAAAAATTCAATAAATTTATATTTGCCATGGCAAAGAGTTATGAAAGTGTTTGGCACATTGAGTAATAAGCAGTTTTGGATGTAATTAGACTTAAATTATATTTCATGTGCATGGGAATTTAAAAAGTATCTTCATACATACCTACAAAGGAGATTGTTGTTATCCCTCTTTTGCAAATGGAAAGTAAGTTTCAGAGATTTTAGTGAATTGTCCACCTTTCAAGCAGTTGGTAAGCAGTGAAGTCAGGTCTTAGCTCAGGGGATTTAACATCTAAATCCTGGTCTTCTCACTTTTATGTTTATTCTCAAACATGAAGCATCCCTTAAATACAGAAAGTTCTATATAAATATACAAAAAGCTCATTTAAAAGGTAGTACAGAACTAAATAAAGTGTTGCTAACAAATCTAACATATGTGGTGGATCAATATTATATTTTCAATCTTTTGTAGCTAAAAGTTGAAGCTCCACCTGGTGAAACAATTGGATATGTTTATCAATACTTTCACCCATTCTTGCCAAAATTCAAAATAAAAAATGAGAATAAGGAGGAGGTAATGAAAATTAAAGGGCCATGGTTGGTCTTCACCTGTCTCAGAGATCTAAACTTTAATGTAAGTAATTAATACTGTTTTAATATCATATTAAAATTAGTTGTTAGTTTTTTCACAATACATATAATTATTGAATATGATTAAATAAAAATAAAGGAATATTATTATGAAAATACTGTAACTATTTGCTTTTTTAAAATATTGGATTACTAATTTATTGTGTCCTTATTTAAAAGCTCTAGAAATTTATGTAGCTTATAAGGCAAGTTTTAAAGATACCAAAAGTTTAGTATTTAATATCTCAAGAAATATTGAAAGAGAAAATTCAACTTTATTTCAATGTATAATGACCTAATTTGGTACTAATTATACATAATATTTTAATGTTCATTAACAGAGTTTTTGCTTTTTATAAAACTTTGAAACACAACATAATTTTAAAAAATGCTTATGTGCTTACTAATTTACTTCCCAGATTATAGCTAACATCCAGATAATAATTTGGGAATTAACTCCTAAATATATTACATATAGTTAATAAAATTAAAGAACTTGTTATGTTTATTTAAATCTGAAGGTTCCTAAGGAACAGAGAATATTGTGGTGGTTTAACTTGATAGTAGGTATGCAAAACCATACTTCCCAAGCTTTCATTAAAAACATATTTGTTTGTTTGAATAGCTAAAATGCCTAGTAAGAAATTTGGATACAGCTTAACTAAAATACTACCTGATTTTCTTTCCTTTCATAGAATTATGTCAATTCATTTTAGTGATTCTGATTCTTACCGGCATCTGCATATATATATACTTAACATATTACAAATTAATTGTTAATAATATATCTAGTTTGGAAAGTAATAACATGACTACATAGGACTCTATTTTAAGTTAGAAGACAAAGTAATAAAGTAGACTGTGCATGAAACTCTGGAATCCAAAGCCAGTTTTACTGACACCAAATAATAAAATGCTTTCTGTGCATTATTTTATATTTCACAGTATAATACAGCAAATCCTACTCATTCTAATATCTTCAACATTTTGTCAAAAGTATGTAAAACCCTTCCTATTTTTTCTGTTTGAAGCAAAACACTTTTAAAGCTGGCACTCTTGGGTAAGCTCAAGTATGTGGAGCAAGAAAGGGAAATCATGATTCTGTAAGAAAGTCATCTTTTGCATGAATGTGGACAATCCTTTTAATATTTTTTTGGCTATGAGTAAAAGTAAAGATATAGTGGCTAGTTTCAGGGCCAGAACTAAAATGAGGCAACTGACGTGTCCATCTCAGGTAGAAAATTTAAGGGACCAACAAAAATCTCAGTATTAAGGGTAAGTGGTACCTGAATGCATTGCACTTGAAAAAAAATTAATGCAAAAAAATTTGTTATGAAATAAACTAAAAAATTAAGAAAGGAACCGACTGTGTACTTGTATGACTTCTCTCTCTGCAATAACCTAATCCTGTTTCTGGCTGGATGAGGGCACAGGGTGGAAGGGGAGATATTTTCCTGAAAAGTATGTTGTTATCCCTTTGATTGTAAAATAACAGAGCCAAATGAGAGACAAAGTATGGAGATACAGCAGAGGCCCAATCGCTGATGAATCTGGTTTCTTATTTGGTATGGGACTGAGACACATGTAGAGAATTAGCCTCATATAGAGATGGTCCATTCATCATAATAATAAGGAGGCAGGAAATGTTGGTATGAACACATTCTGTTTGTAGGGCTAGTGTCTGAGGATAAATTCCTGTTCCATACCTTTTATTTTCTCTGTAATACAAGAGATAAGATATTTTGTTGATAATGAGAGGGAATAGTGGGTTCAGAGTTCTGCAAAGGATGAAGAACTTTGGACATATTTAAAGCACTTCGATATTTCTCATTTTCCTGTTCCTTAGCACTACTTACAAGGCTGTGTATGAGCAGCCCTGCTAACTTCTCTGGTCTCACTCATTTTCTGCTATTAGTCCCCTCCCTCACTTCACTCCAGCTGTGCTCCTTCCTTACTCGGGGTCTTTTCACATGTTGTTAACTTTCTCTGGAATGCTGTCTGTCTTCCTATTTCTCTTATCACTAATTCTCTCTGGTCTAAATCTCAGCTTAAATGATGCTGTCCCCAAGCAGCTTACTCTAAAACCATGCCCCCACAATTTGTGAAGTCTGCTTATTAGCTCCCATTGTACATCATAGCACTCTACCTTTCCCTTACGGCATTCATTGCAAGGCAGGTAGTATGATTTATCCCAGGTTGTTGTTTTATATTTACATGAGTATCTCTTATTCTGAAGGAATGAATATTAGTTGGTATGAGAAATGACGCTCTAGGAGGTTTAGATAAGTAGCAGAAAAAAAATGAGGAAAAAGTAAAGGGAGCCAGAAAAATAAAATCATTTATGAAAGAGTTGGGTAAGCTGTATAATGAGCTGAGAAGCTCATGGTTTTCATTTTATAATGAAATTCATTCTTGTATTAAGTTAAAGCAAAATATATAAATTAAGTGTATATAAGTGTGACACATAGAGAGATAGATATAATCAGTTGTATACAATTTGAAAATCTACTTTTAGGTAGGAATTGCCTATAAATGTTACCAGGGTATTATGTGTCCATGTTGCATATTTTATAAGTTGTTGGGTATAATCAGTATAAATATAACTAATCAAGGTCATAATTAGTTAATAAATTGGGTAAAGAAATACCTTTTTATTTTGTAGATTTTCTCCTAAGATTATGTATTTTTCTATTTTAGTTATTGACGCTGGATGAGGAAATGGTTATTGGAAAGATTTCAAAACACTTCTCTGGATCTGTGAGGGGAATATTAACCAATGGTGAGAAACTTGAGATCCAGTTTCCATTTGATCTTGATGTTAAAATTAAAGCACTGATGCTTGGAGCAACTTTCCTCATTGTGAGTCTACTTTTACTCTATTTACTTGAAAATTACATTTTCTGAGATTATCATTGCACTTTTGTTAATATTTCTCCTTGAATCATCTGAATCAACTGCAAATTGTGCCTTTCTGACCATTCTCAGTCCCCAAATGACATTATAGATTCAGTATTCACCTTGCAAAGGAAGCAAAAATTAGAGTGTCCTAGAAACATGATCATTGAGGATTAAATCCTTTGCATTCAAGAAAAATCGGACTGTCACTGAAAACAAAAAATATAGTTCATTCAATGTGACTTATAGTTATGTCTTACAATGTAAAATTTATTAATGTGTGCTTGTTATACTTTATTTATTGTTAATTTGGAAACTATAGATATTATTTGATTTTGCTCTATCCCTTAAGCAATGCAGAGACGTTAAAAATATTTTAATTCTAATCTCTCTCTCACAATTTATATACTTTCATTGGCTAGTGTTTTAGTTTTACTTGTTTTTAAATTTACAAATTAAATGTTTGCTCTTATTTTATTTTTCTAATAAAAACACAGATATGTTTAGCACTTTATTTGCTCTCAAATTTTATTTAACTTTAGATGATCCCTCTAAGGTTATGTTCTTTCTCCCTAAGTCCTCACTTAATATCATTGTATTAGTTCATTTTTGCACTGTTGTAAACTGGGTAATTTATAGAGGAAAGAGGTTTAATTGACTCACAGTTACACATGTCTAGGAAGGCTCAGGAAACTTACGGTGTAAGGCAAAGGAGAAGCAGACATCTTTTCCACAAGGTGGCAGGAAGAGTGAGTACAAGCAGGGGACATGCCAGATGCATATAAAATCATCAGATCTCCAGAGAACTCACTCGCTATCGCAAGGACAGCATAGGGGAAACCACCCCCAGGATCTAATCACTTCCCTCCCTCCACACTTGGGGATTACAGGTCCCTGCCTCAACACATAGGGATTATAATTCAAGATGAGATTCGGGTGGAGACATAGAGCCAACCCATATCAGTCATTGATAGGTTCTTAGAAACTGCAAATTTAAGCACAAGGATATAGAATAAAACTCATTATTTTTGTCATCAACATAACAAAACAACATTGAACAAAATGACATTATTCATAAACCTTCTGTACTTACCAGTCGATAGAAATTGTTAAATTGGATTTTTAAAGTATCCATAGTCTCTTTTAAAAAGATAAAGCTAAATTAATGACCACAAATTTGAAAGAAAATGAATGTGGATGAAATACTAACCACAAGAAGGCTAAGGAATCTAAATTAATGCCAGGAAAAAAAAATTAAGGCTCCAAAAAATAGCAACAGAAACAAAATGGGTAACTATGATGATAAAGCGTCTATTCAAACAAGGCACAGTAACTCTAGACTTGTATGCATGTCATATTAACTTCAAAATATAGAGACAAATGTTAAAAAGTTAAAATGACAAACCCACCATCAAAATGGGGGATTTTACTCACATCTCTTCATTTTTATTAGATATAAGACAGAATGTTACTAAAGTTATTTAAAATTTGAACAACAAAATGAGTAAGCTTGATTTAATGGTCTTATTTAGAACTTTTTTTACCAAAAATTAGACAACACACATTGTTCTCAAATAAACATTATTTACAAAAATTAATATAATTATGGGCCAAGAAGCAAGTCTCAACAAATTACAGAGAATCATTATCATTTAGACCTTAGTATATGAGCAAACAGGACTCAATTAGAAGTTAATAAATATTTTTAAATGTTTTCTACATATTGAAATGCAAATAACTCAATTATTTTTAAAAAGCCATAATAAAATATTGTAAATACTTTAAAATATGTAGTAAAATAATACATGTCAAAACTCTTGGCATGCAACTAAACATATTAAAATGTACAGCTATAATTATTGAAGAAAAGAGAAAAATTAATATGCTAAATTGATTGGCTTAAGCTATAAAGTTAGAAAAAAAAAAGCAAGAATAAATCCAAGGAAGCATAATGGAGATATTGAACCATCAAGCAAGCAAAAATAAACAGCACCCATACTAAGACTCTAAAAAAGATAGGTCTTTCAAAGCAAAAAAATCGTGAAGTAACAGACTACCAAATTTAAATATTTTAAACTTTTGTTTTTCATAAAGTCTCATAATATTAGATATTTAAAAGCAAATAATAAATTAAGGAAAATATAGGAAATAAGGGAAATAATAAATTAAGGAAATACATAACAAATATGACTAAGGAATAATATTCTTGGGTCAATAAACATGATCCTTAAGAAGAAAAAATCGAATACTCAAATGAAAATATACAAATAATATGAAAAAATAATTTGAATCACTGTCAAAGAGGGAATAAAAATAACTGCTAAACATAAGAAAGCATTTCCAAAAGCACACAAGAGAAGCAAAAAAGAAAGGATAAAATACCTTTTTTTGTTTATCATATAATAAAGTTTTTATTTCTAATGATGTATGTTCAATGCTAATGAAGATTTAAGGAATCAAGTTCTCATGAGCTACAGGTGTAACTTTTAGAGGACTATATTAAAATACATTTGTCAAAAATTTAATGTTTATTTATTTATTTTGAAACGGAGTTTCACTCTTGTTACCCAGGCTGGAGTACAATGGCGCGATCTCGGCTCACCGCAACCTCCGCCTCCTGGGTTCAGGCAATTCTCCTGCCTCAGCCTCCTGACTAGCTGGGATTACAGGCACGAGCCACGATGCCCAGCTAATTTTTTGTATTTTTGGTAGAAAAGGGGTTTCACCATGTTGACCAGGATGATCTCCATCTCTTGATGTCGTGATCCACCCACCTCAGCCTCCCAAAGTGCTGGGATTACAGGCATGAGCCATCGCACCCGGCCTGTTTATTTATTTTTTTAGATACAGACAGAGTAACTAGCGTAAACTCTATGTAGCAAACTTCATTCAGATAGCAAAAATTAAAGCAACATAAAATGTGTAAAGTATGAGATTTACTAACTACATAATGAGACATCACTAGAATACAGTAATCAGCAGATATTAAAACAAACTAATAAACTAAATACTTTTAAGGACCTTTGATGACATAAGTACTCAGAATATTTTATGCAGTGAAGAAAGCCAGCCTTTAGAGATGTACAAATCTATTATTTTGATGTAGGTAAGGGCAAACAGTCATTCTTACACCCTTAGAAATTGTTTCCTGGCCGGGCGCGGTGGCTCACGCCTGTAATCCCAGCACTTTGGGAGGCCGAGGCGGGTGGATCACGAGGTCAAGAGATCGAGACCATCCTGGTCAACATGGTGAAACCCCGTCTCTACTAAAAATACAAAAAATTAGCTGGGCATGGTGGCTCGTGCCTGTAATCCCAGCTACTCAGGAGGCTGAGGAAGGAGAATTGCCTGAGCCCAGGAGGAGATTGCGGTGAGCCGAGATTGCGCCATTGCACTGCAGCCTGGGTAACAAGAGCGAAACTCTGTCTCAAAAAAAAAAAAAAAAGAAATTGTTTCCTCATGGCTCTGGCCCTCAGACTTCTGTTTTTTAATATGTTTTACGATTATGTTATTATAATACAGGGATCTTAAAAAGCATTCTCATGTCTAATGCCTGTAGTTGTTTCTACTATTAAACCAACCTAATTGTATTTATTTTTCATTTTCATTGTAGGATTACATGTATTTTGAACTGTGGCCATAAGACTCACCCTGAAAGAATATGTCAGAGAATACTGGCATTTGTTTTTGCCAGTCCTCAACAAAACTAAACAACTTTCACTGAAAATATCTAAATAAAATTTTATTTTACTAAAACTATTCATACATATTCTTACTGCATAATAAACTCTACCAAAAAATTTTAACTTAAAATAATTATTATGTTTATCTTAGCATTCTGTTGTATAGTTCTGTTCAGAACCTGGCTCACTCATGCATTTTGAGTCAATTATCAGATTAGTTGGGGACTGTCTTATCCCAGATGACTTCATTCATATGTCGGGCTATTGGCTGAGGGAATGGGAGTAATAGGCCACATATTTTTCATCGTCTAGGAGGACAGCCAAAGCTTTTACACATGACTGTGTTACAAAACCAACAAGAAGCTGGTTTCCGTAGTGTAGTGGTTATCACGTTTACCTCACAAAACCAACAAGAAACCAAGTTCAAATGTTCAAGCTCATTTCAAGCCTCTACTTCTTTTATATTAGTAATATTCCATTGACCAAAGCAAATCACATAGCCAAGGCCACATTCAAGGGGTGGAAAAACAGAAGCAATTTTTTAATGAGAGTTGCTGCAAAATAATGTTGCCTTTCTTCCCCCAACACAATTTATCACTGTCTTCTCTTTGGCTCCAGTTATTTACCTTCTCCCCAAACACAAAATATCCTTAACCCTCTCAGGACTCCCACAAGTCTCTTTCAATTATAGCATCCAGTATGATGTCATCCTTTACCTTTTGTGAATGTGAGTGAAGATACTTGGATACAGCTTCTCTTGATTCAGAGACTTGAAAACAAAAAAGGCCCACCTCACATGTAATAGTGAGCAAAGGTCAAAGTAGCCACAGTGAACAAATAAAATTCATCTAGTAGTCACTGGTCAATAGAAATTCTAGTAATTAGAAGGGATATGTTTCTAGGTCCCCTTACTCTGGGAACAGAGAAAATTCTGCTCCCTGGGAGTGGCTTTCCAGTCCATTGTTCTACTCTCGTCTCTGGAATTTTGGCTCTGCCTTCTGGGACATTTTTTTCTTTTCTAAATGAAATTACCATGTTTTTAGCTGAGTAGCTTTTGTAGGCTTCTATCTGCCTATGAACAGAGGTCTCTTTTCATTTTAGAATGTCTCAGTCTCTTTTAGTTTATGCTTATACTACTCCCTTAAAAACAGTGTGGATTTCTACTTATTTCTACTTATAGGATTTAGTCCACTTTATTGGAAAAATAAGCCACATCCCACTATTCTTTTTAAGTCAGGCTTCTTTCTTTGGACTTATTCATATCTAGCTTAACTTCTTATATAACAGACGAGTTGCAAAGGAAGCCAGAGGACACATCCTTAATTCACAAGCACATTTCAGGCCTCTGTTTGCATCATGTCTGTTAATGCCCTATTAACCAAATAAAGTAACGTGGATAAATCCCCATTCAAGGGATGTTGAAGGAGATTCCTACTTCTTGATGAGAAGAGCTGTAAAATATTGTGGACTTTTTTTTTTTTTTTAACAATCTAGCACACTATTTAACAGGTGTTTTTTTTATTTGTATTACCTATGAAATGTCTTTGAATTTGTGATCTTTTCAACTATATATCATCATTTAATTAACTATAATATTCGTAATAATTCTTAGATATTATTGGTTTCATTGAGAGATAATATCCAAAGACCAGAACATCCAACATCAGAACTACACAGACACTCTCTTAAAGCAATCAAGAGAGACACAGATTCAGTGAAATATAATAAAATGAGTCCTGGATACTTCCACAGAAAAGCTACTCTTCCTTCTTATAAAAGTATTGCATAGAACAGCCCTAATTATATAAATGTTATCATTTAATGTTTTGAATAAATCCTGCCCTTGTGTTTAGGATTTCTGTCCACAGAAGAATATAGCATATTTTTGTTTACAAAAGTTTATGCTTAAAAGGGTATGGTCTAGATCATTCTAGAAAGACATGGGATGAAAAATGTAAAGCCATTGGCTCTTAAGTACCCAAACTTAAAGCTCATATTGCCAAGGCATAGGGCAAACTATCCCTTACTCCCTTTCAGAGATCCAGAGGTATAAATGGACCCACTTGTTTGCCTGAAGCTGTTTGTTGGGTGCAGTGTCCTGGGAAACTCACATAAAGAACCTCATTCTCTGGGTTGGCCAGGAGGAAGTAGAAGCTCCTGCAATCCAGGGAACTAAAAGACCCTACCCTATAAACTTACCCCAATTTTCTATGGTTTGTAACATTTTTTGGGAATCTTTTAGGACATTTTAGTGGGAAAACAGCACACAACACTTTTTTTCAAGAAAAGAAGAAAAAAAAATCATAAGATGGAATTTCTCATACACAAGTGAAAAGAAACTTGGAACAAAATTCATTTAAACAAGAAATAACGGTATCTTTTGCTACAGAATTCTGGGAAGCAATCTCATTTCCAAATTATATGTCTTGCTCACAATTTCTATTATGAAACTTCTCTGCCTACATCCCTTAGAAGACAGGCCAACTTTTCCCATTTTATGCAGATCTGACAGACTCAGGGTTCGGAATATAAAATAAGGTAATTTTCACGAACATGCATGATCCATACTGAATGCTTAGTATATATTAGACAGTGTTTAAAGAGTCATGTTCAACTGAATGCTCATAGTTCAGATATTCTATATGCACACAGAATATTAGTGTATGAAAACAGAAGTTTTCACATATTGTTATCTTGTTTGGTTGCCTCCATTCATACAAATTGAAACTCTTTTTAGAGGAAGAAAAGTTTTGGTTGAAGTTGTTAACAGACTTTTTTAATAGAATATTTTATGCTTATTTTTTGTTCAAGCTTGCAAACACTAAGCACAAAACATTAAAATTTTATTGCTCATGTTCCACAACAAGGTTCTATACCATTTATATAGGATGTGTTGAAAAAAATAAAGTTGTCCTCAGCTCAACTGTTCCAATACATTTCACGTAACAAAACAGTTACAGGAAGATGAGGAGAATAAAGTAAATACTATAGTGTCTAATCTCATCCTTTGCGTTTTCAGTACTGAGGATTAGAAGTTGGTAACATTACTTAAGAAGACATCATGTGAAATTGCTTCAGGGACAATGTTTACCTCTAACTTTGTAGATTACTTGATGCTTATCTAGACCCTGGGGATTGAAAGCTTTGAACACCACTTATACACAGTGACATTCCCATAACAAATCATAGTACAAGAGAAGTTTCTTCAGATGACTCGGTAGGCATTAGGGATGATTAAGTGGAAGCAAGGGCACAAGAAGCAAAGACAGAATCCAGTAGGGGAAATTAGATGTTCAGACTGGCTTTCAAAAACACATAAAATACCTCTGGAGTTCTCTGTTGGATGACTGGTCGACATTACAGGGAGTGGCTGGGAGACTAGGGAGGTCTTGCTAGTAGTACCTGGTTGGGGTCTATTGAGCCACAAGGTATTTGTGTTAAGTTTTCATCATTGTTGTTGCTAAAACTGTAAAAGGTATTCAATTTCTATCAGTGATTGAAAATAACTTAGTGATACTAACTGGATTGGATTTTGTTGTTGATGATGTTGTTGTGGTGTTTTTTGTTTTGTTTTCTCCAGAATGTGAAACTGTCAAGATGCAGCATTAATCAATGGTGTCTCATTTGTTTTATTGTTCAGTTACTGAATATAACTGGGGATTTACATATGCTTTCAAAATTATCAGCCAGTGCATACATTTGATAGGGATCAAATGAAAGTAGTAATTGCCTTAGAAAACCATCCAATAGAATTCTATAAGAAGCTAACTAGAATTTTAAAACACAATTCAAAATAAAATAGAAATATTAATATTTTACCAGTTAGTCTCATCAGCTGTATATGAGAATGTTGCACACTATCTCTCCCTGAGAAAAGTAGATTAAGCTAGAGAATATTTTCTAACTTATTCACCAAAGTAAATTACTGGCAGATGAATGCTGGCATTTTTGGAAAACAACAAGGCTCCTGGCTGTTAATTTTTGGTCATTCACTGAAATAGTGGTTTTTAACTTAATATGTATCAAAACCACCTGGAGGGGCTTTCAAAACACAGATTGCTGCATCTCATCCCCAGAGGATCTGATTCAGTGTCTTGGGTATCCTAATAATTTGCATTTTAACAAGTTCCCAGGTGAAGCTGCTGCTACTCCTAATGGGGACCACACTTGAGAATCTTGGCACTCGAACAAATTACCAGACTTCAGCCAGAATTCTGTGGGCTGCTAAAGTCAGCAAGTTGAGAAAATTATGAAGGCTTATGAAACTCTTTAGAGGACCACTGGAATCATCCACATCACCTCATCTTTATGCAGCATGGCTGGGGATCTTCAGGTATATTATCTTTCTTTTATCTTCAATCTCCCTCTCTGGAACAGAAAGTTATTCTAAGTGTGGTTTTGAGTCAGTAACATTAACATAATTGGGGAACTTCCAAAAAAGGCAACAAATGAATCCTACCCCAGACCTAGTGATTCAGAAACTCTGAGGATGAGACCCAGCAATGTCTTTTATCAATAACAAATTCTCAAGATAATTGTAATTGTGAGAAATGTTAGAATAATGCAGTGCTTCTCAGACTTATCTACACATTGGAATCACCTGGGAGCTTTAAAAAAAACTATCACTGTTTTGGTCTTATCCCCAGAAAATGATTTATCTAAAGCGCAGTTGGGGCACTGGATATTTTTTAATGAGTAGTTTGAGATTCCCAGCAAAATTGACTGGAATGTACAAAAGTTCTTTGTAATCCCTATCACCACAGCACATACAGGCACTAAAATTTTTAAAAGTTTTTCAGGTAATTACTGTGCACAGCCAAGTTTGGGAAGTAATCCCAAGAATGTTTTTCTTATCAGTAAACATGCTAAAGGCCTATTTTCTGCAAAATTTCCTTTGATCACATAGCTACCTTTCCCTTTAATATTTTTTTTTCATTTCAAGCTTCTTTAATTTTCTCTACTTCCTTTTTCCACTTCCTCACCTGTTATTCATTATAAGCTCACTGTAATTTCTCTTGCATTTCTACCACGACTTTATTTTTTACCAAGGGATCCTTTTAAATCTTGCCTTAATTGGATTCTGTACAGCATTTAGTATTGATGACCATTCTTTCCTAAACTCTTTTATTGGTTGACAGAAAACCCATTCTCTGAGATGTTTTTTATGTCTTGCCACTCATCCCTAGGCTCTATTAAATCTTGTCGGGTACCCATTCCGTAAATGCTGATGTTTCTCAATTTTGTATATTTGGATCTATTCTGGGCTATCTAGCTTGTCACATAGCAGGGAAATTGAAGGTACATTAAAAACTTTAAAAATTAATGTTTATTTATCAAAGTAAAACATTTGAATAGTGTAAAATGCCAAACACTGCTGAAAGACTTATTACAAGATCAATAACTTCTGGCGACTCCCTTCCACCCATTTTCTACATATACAAATAAAAAACTTGCTGGAACTTTTATTTGGATTTATAATAAATTTTTAGATTGATTTATGGAGAACTGATATTTTGACAATATTGAAACATCTAATATGAAAACGTGATATATTTCTCTCTTATTTAGGGCTCCTTTAACTTCTATCATCTAAGTTTTGTAGTTAGCAGAGTACAAAAAAATCCTTACATATTTCTTATTACTTTTATTACCATATATCTAATGTTTTGATGCTTTTGGACATGGCATCTTTCAATTATATTTTCTAATTTTTGTCTCCAGTATATGGAAATACAATTGATTTTGTACATTGGCTGATATGGTTACCTTTGTCAACCTAAATAAGAAATTATCTTAAATATATTAGAAAACTATTTTAAGAATATGAACAAATGCTTATTAGAGTCTTTTCCTTGAATCTGATTGCAAATACTTTAGAGAAGAATTCAAAATAATCACTGTGGATGACAAAAACTGAACATAACTATGGTTAAAAATCTGGTGAAATTTTATTATAATCAGCATTTGACAATATAATTTAGTTATTTTTGTGGCATATTATAGCCACAATTATGATTGATAACATGTTAGAGTTCTAAGAGTTTTATTCAAATTTGGAATATGCATATTAATAACATACCCATAAATGTAGCTGAAACGTCTATATCAGACTGAAAAAATTTAATTTTTCAATTGCTGAGATTTTTATTAACCTGATTAATGAGTTTGAACATAGATTTTATTACTTATAAAACTATATATGGTTATAAAAATTGTTCTAAAACTATAAATTTAGATATATTACATATTATAATGTATATAAAACATGTATTAAGATAGAAAAAATTATTTTGTTACTATGAAGATGGCCTCAATCACATTGTGTCATTCAAGAGACACTAATTTTATATGTAAGTGCAGTATTCCAGGACAAAGAAAAATCAAATGAGAAAAAGGCAAAAAGCATTTTATGATCCTACTGGCTAACAAATCAGTTTGTAGTTGACTACATAATTATCAATGGCTTTTGTCAAATGCTATTGGAGAAAGATTTATGCTAATAATGGTTCAGTTTATCTTATGCTAGGACATTAATTTAATAAGTGGATCACTTTCTCTTTAGCCAAAACATTAGCTAAATCACATTGGGAAAATAAAACCCAGAAGCAGAAACTAATTGGAAACATTGCTTTTAGGTAATGAAGCACTTATATATCTGTTTTGAGGATTCATTAGTTTTAGTTTGGGGAAGTTTTTACATAACTCACCTGAAAAAAATGCATAATTGTCATTGAAATATAGACTGCCAAAGTCATTGAATAAAGAAAGAACTTTTGCATTTTATTTCATTTCATTTTAATAAACATTCCATCGAAGTTTGGGCTAAATTTCAGGCTCTAAAGATAAAAAAGATGATCAAGGCTGTATCCTTCTACTTAAGGAGCCTGGTAGGGGAGGAGAAACACAATTAAACCAACAACAACTCTATGAGATGATAGGGCTATTAAAGACATTTACATAATGTGCTACAGGAACACAATCAGATCATAATTGTACATTCTTTCTAGGTGGGAGATATAGTCTATTGATAGTGTTTTAAACCTCTTTGTCTCTCTCTCCCATACACTTAGTATTTTGAAGGCAGATGTAAGAAGGGCCAAAGTATCCCCTCCTAAACTAGAGGAAGTTGCCATTGCCCCAAGTCCTGTGGTTTGCTAAGAGGTTTGCATAAGCCAAACGAAGAGCATTCTAGACAGCTACAGAAGGACCCAATGGAGTATTTTCCTTTGGAGAACTTTCAGAAAGCATCATTATGGGTGGAGAGCTTTTCAGCAACAAGCAAGCACATTTGGGGTCAATAAGTGCAATTGTCATAGGTAAGAGAAACTGTTATTTGAGAGGTGAAGCTGTTTTACTAATAATGAAAAGAAATGGATCAGTCTTATGGTTGTCCAGCAACAATTTTTCTAATTAATTAAAATAGGTTGTATCACAATCATTATAAACACACTGACAATAGTCTTTGAGATGTTAAGATATTTTCCAGAAGCAGGACTAGCTAAGTGATTTGTTGAACTCAGTCAAAACTAAAATGTGATGTTCCTTCTTCAAATATTATTAAAATTTCAGGATGGAAACAGCAACATATTAATGCAAGCACAGGGCCCTATGTGACTACCTGACAATCAGGCCTATGAAGCCAGCAGTGGCCAGAGGACAGTATCACTTTACATATTATAGCAAGCTAAGTATTTATAGAATAAGAAGCCATAGCTTTGAATTATAGCAAATACAGATCTGAATTCTACCTCTGTCTCATATTACCCACTGAATATTGAACAAGTTATGTTATTTTCTATTTCCTAATAGAAATGTGACCATGCAAATTAAAACTTCTGCTTAAGCTCCAATATTATATACAAATATACATGTAAATTCTCTTTGGCTGAATATATTAAAAATGATTTTATTATTTAAAAAAGAATGTATGCAAATTAGTGACTCTCAAATATTGCTGCTGATTTTAGATATATAATTTTATTAAAGTAAAACAATTTGTTTATTTTCAGTTTTTATTTTAATTTCCTTGGCCACTGATTTCATCACTCACCCTGGTTGTGTGCTAAGATTCACCATTAAGATTATTTTAAGATTAAATCTTTAAATATTTAAATTTCTGAGTGCAGTGGCTCATGACTGCAATCCCAGTAATTTAGTAGGTAGCAGGATCCTGTGAGCCCAAGAATTTGAGATTACATTCGGGTAAGATTGCACTACTGCACTCCAGCCTGCACAACAGAGTGATACCTCATTTCTAAAATAAATAAATGAATAAAATACTTAATTAGAAGTCATCTATTGAAGATTAAGAACATAATATTCATGTGTGTTTTATAATCTCCACATAGAAAATTGTACTCTTCATTTTAATATTTCATTATTACTTTTTGGTATTCAGAGATAGCCTCATTCAATTTATGTAATGCTTTACCATTTTAACAACATGTTACTTATATTTTGTCCTTCGATTATAGGAAGAAAAGGAGTGCTGGAGCATTCTCTCTGGGTGGCCTGGCAACTTCCTTCACTGCCTCCAAGGGCTAGAGAGCTGGCTTTTTCCAGCACATCATTAGAAAACTTACTACAAATCTTAAAGTATCTATTCTCCTGAGCAACATCATTGTTATACTTAGCCAATTAAAAATAGAAAGCAGCAGAAGGCCAATGACCTCGGTCAGCACCCAGTTCCATGGTCCAGTTCCATGGTCCAAGCACATCTCTCCAGAGTAATGCAAAAACAGAGACCTGTGTTCCTGCTGACCCTTACTTAGCCTGTGAGTTCCTACCTGCATTGTGTGATGTTTGCTGCTGTGTACCATTGATAGAGGCAGAGAAACTTCAGGCAGACAGGGTAAGTCACTATTTTCTTACCATCTTTCAGTGCAAAGTGGCAGTTTTGTCATTTGTATGTTCAAGCAGCTAAGGTAACCTGAATGGGAAAGAAACAGTTGCCCCGTGGGAGTTGCCCCACTTCTATTTGTCTATTCTCAGAACCCCAAATTTCTCCTTCCTTTCCCTTTGCTGCAGAAAAATATTAAAAGATAACTGTAAGTCCCACGATGTCCCCCAATTCTGAGGATTTCCTAAGCATATGGAAAACTTAGAAACTGAGAGAGTAAAGACAAACTAAAGATAGACTAAACTTAAGGTCGATATTTTTATATAGCTATCTATCTGCTTATACTATTATGTTTCTCTGGAGAACCCAAAAAAATATACATTATGAACAAAACAAGAATTGATGGGAATAGGGATACTGAAGGAAAACATTACTAAGTTTAATAAATAGAAAATGGACAGAGATTCTTTATAACAATTCAGGGGGCAATAAACTCACATGTAACACATGGTAGGTCTAAAAAATATATATTAAAAATTGAATCAAATTTTACATCTTTATTGGAAATAATCAAATATCTTTAAATAGTCTATTATTTTTACTCTATATAACCTGCAGACAAATTCTAAAATACAAAATATTTTGAATATTTGTTCTTCAAATTCATAACACACCACTGTATAATTATGATTAAAAAAATAAACTGTGGGTTGAACAAGAGAAGACTATAAAATAGATTAGTAAACTTTTTTAACACTTGTCATGTATTTGTGAGTCTATAGCATTGAGAAGCTACACTTTGAAAGCTAGTCAAATGAACTGAATTACTCACGGATACGGACTAGAAAAATCACTTCTTGTGTAGAATCACCCATGTGGAAAATATTCAGATTCCATTACTTTGAATTATCATTTAAATTGCATTTTCAATATTTTCCTTGCCTATGTGGGGGAACTTATTTCTCCCATAATTTGAATATTATTTTAGATAATTTTTTAAGTCCTGGGATAATTATGAATTAAATTAATACATTAAATTTGAATGAGTTCACTTTATCTTTAGTGATCCTATTCAAAAGTGTTGGTTATATTTCCTACATTTCCAACATTCATTAAAATTTTACTTTCTCATGAGTATCTTCCTTTTAAAGTTTATTCTTAAATTCTAAGTTTGTCTCCCTAGTGCATGGATTTTTAATTTTTTTTTGTTGTTGTTGTCGTTTTACTTTTCTAGACCTATTGAAGCTTGTATTCCTTGGGCGGGTAGAAGATAAATTTAAAAATACACTTGTAAGCTAAACAAATTTGAAATAAATAAGGTACATAGTATTTGACAAAACAATTTGTAAAAGTATTTGAAAATCCAAACCTCTAAAAGATACACTAAAAATAAATAGCATGGAATTATAACATACTTACTAGAAAACATTGCTTAACACTAAGGAAGGTAGTAAGAAAAAAATAACAAAGGATTTAAAAAACAAGTAAGATAGTGGCAGTAGTACACTCTTGCTTATCAATAACAATCTTGATTCTAAATCAAAGGTTGGTTAGATTGAATTTTCCAATTAGCAGATATAGAGTGGCTGAATGAAAGTGAAAGACCTAATTAATGATCTATTCAAGAAACTCATAACACCTATAAAGACATTCACAAGTGGAAAGTGTAGAGATGTAAAAAGATATTGCATGCAAATTCAAACCAAAATAATCAGGCATAACTATACTTAGATAAAAAAGACTTTAAGTCAAGAATGGTAAAAGGGAAAGCAAAATAATTCCATTACATAATTATAAAGAGATCAGTACAGAAAGATAATATCACAATAGCTATAGAATACACATTTTCCCTAACAGCACAATGGAACATTCTCCAAGACAGACCGTATGTTTAGTCACAAAATAAGTCCTATCAAATTATTATTATTTTTTTTTTGAGATGAGGTCCCACTCTGATTATGACTCACTGCAGCCCTGAACTCCTGGGCTGAAGTGAGCTTCCTGCCTAGGTTTCCAAGTAGCTGGGACTGCAGCATCAACCACTAAATGTAACTAATTATATATATATATATTTTTTTTTTAACTTTTTTTATAGATAGGGTCTCTCTTCATTGCCCAGGCTGGTCTCAAACTTCTGACCTCAAGTGGTTCTCCTACGTTGGCATCCCAAACTGTTGGGATTACAAGCATGAACCACCACACTCAGCCCAAATTTTACAGGACATTCCATCCAATAGCTACAGAATACACATTTTTTTCTTAACAGCACAGTGGAATATACTCTAAGACAGATCAGATGTTCAGTCACAAAGTAAGTCCTATTACATTTTTGTTTTGTTTTGTTTGAGATGAAGTCTCATTCTGTTGCACAGTTTGGAGCAGAGTGGCGTGATTATAGCTCACTGCAGCCCTGAACTACTGGGCTGGGATTACAAGCATGAACTGCCACACCCAGACCACATTTTTTAAACACTGGAATTATGTCAAGTATCTGTTCTGACCACAGTGGAATAAAACCAGAAATCAATAACACAAGGAACATTGGAAACTGTACAAATTCATAAAAATTAAACAACATGCTCCCAAACAATGTGTCGATAAAGAAATTAAAAATGAAATTAAAAAAATTTTTGAGACAAATGAAACTGGAAGCACAACATATCAAAATCTGTGGGATACAGCTAAAGTGATTCTAAGAGAAAGTTTATAGCAAACAGAAACCTATATCAAAAAAATATAAAGACTTCAAATAAATAACTTAATGATGTACCTCAAAGGATGAAAAAAATACAAGAACAAATCAAACCAAAAATTAGCAGAAGGAAAGCAAGTCTCAATAGAACATATCTGTAGTCCAAGCTATTCAGATGCCTGAGGCAGGAAGATTGTGAGTTCAAGCCAAGCATAGGCAAAATAGCAAGAACCTGAAAAAAAAAAAAGTACAAAGAAAGAACAGATATCAGGATAGATATTTAAATAAAATGGAGACTAAAAAACAATACAACAGATAAATAAAGTTTATTTTTTTGAAGAAAAAATTACTATAGCTAAACTATGGGAAAAAGAATGAATACGTTAAATTAGATACACACAAAAAAGGAGGTATTACTACTGATATTCAGATATACAAAGGATTATTAGAGACTACTATAAACAACTATACACCAATGAATTGGAAAATTTGGAAAAAATGGACAAATTTCTGTATATATACAACACCAAGACTAAATCATAAAATTTTAGTGCCATTTGCAACAACATGGATGGACAGGTAGGACATTATGCTAAGTAAAATAAGCAAGATACCAAAAAGTACAGCAAAATCTCACTTACATGTAGAATCTAAGATAGTCAAACTCATAATAGCATAGAGGAGTAGTGGTTTCCAGGATCTGGGTGCATGGAAAGGAGATGGGGAATGTCTGATCAAAAGTTATAAAGTTTAAGTTATTCAAGATTAGTAAATTATGGAGAACATAATGAACAGCATGATGACAATAGTTAATACAGTATTTTATATTGAAATGTGCTAAGAGAATAGATCTTAAATTAAATCTTGGCACACACACATACACACACATATAATAGCTGTAGAGGTGATAGACTAATTAACTGGATTTTGGTGTTCATTTCACATTACATATGTATATCAAAACATCAAGTTGTACACCTTAAATATATGCAACTTTTTATATGTCAATGTTATCTCTATAGAATTGTTTTTTTAAAAGAATTTATTGGCCCATATGTTGATATTTGTTTGAAATGGATAAGCAGTAAAAAGGGGTTCAGTACATAATTCTTCATATTTTGGTATATGCTTAACATTTTTCATAATAAAAAGATTGGTTAGAGATTTGCTTTGGATAAGAAAAGCACAGCCCAAGGTTTCAATAATAGATACTTCTGGAATGTAAACTTAAGTAAGTTCATCTTCATTTCAGAGGTATATGCATTGCTGGAACTTATTTAAATAAATACTATCAATTTTATAATTCAAAAAAATGAAAGA